CCCACCTCTATTCAAGCATGGCTTCTCCATTTTTATATAAATGGACTCTTTCACACCTCTTTTGAACCAGTCCCTGTATAGGATGTGTACTTGACTGTCTTCAAAGGAGTGACCTTTTTCCTTCAGGTGCAGGTACACTGCCGAATCCTCACCAGAGGGTTTGGCTCTTCTATGCTGTGCCATACGCTGGTGTAGCTGCTGTTTTGTTTCACCGACATACAATTCTAAGCACTCCTCACTGCATACACAATGTTGTTCATCTTGTGTTTTGGCATTGGGTCTTTCGGGTGAAATAGTTGGTGCCTCAGTGTATTGCTGGGTTTAAAGCAGACAGGGATGTGATGTTTTTAAAAAACCCTTCTGAGTTTCTCAGACACCCCAGCTACATATGGGATGACCAAATTCTTCCATTTGTCATGCTTTTCACGCTCACTGGTACTCTTGGCATTCTTTCCTCTCCTTTTTTCTGTTTTGACAAAAGCCCAGTCTGGATACCCGCAAGTTTTAGGGGCCATCCTGAGGTGTTTGAATTCCTTCATCTTGGCCTATGTACTGGTGGGAATTTTCTATGCCTGGTGGTGCAGAGTACTGATGACTCCAAGTTTGTGGTCTAGAGGGTGGTGGGAGTCAAATAGCAGGTACTGGTCCACGTATGTTGGTTTTCGGTAGACCTCTATTTCCAGCTTCCTTCAATCTTCTACTGTTACTAAACAGTCCAAAAAAGCCATTTTTTTTTTTGCATATCTTCCCACGTAAACTTGATGTTATGATCCACTGAGTTGATATGGTCAGTGAAAGCTTGTAAGTCTTGTTTGTGAATCTTGACCCAAGTGCCATCCACATCTGAACCAATGACTGGGTGTAATTCCCTTGAAGGTAGTCAGGACCTTTCTTTCTACTTCCTGCCAAATAATTTTTGTACAAGTCATTCTGAATTGAGAAAGCTGGTTAGATGACCAGTGAAACATCTTCAAGAAAAATACAGCAAGTCCAGTTGTCTTGACTTATTTTTTTACAGATATCCCATGAAATATTAATGATACTGAAGCAGTACTATCATAGTTTATTGAAAAAAATATTCGCTTTTGTTCTCTCCTAGCCCTGATGAAGGGGGTATTTGCATGAGCTTCCGAAATGTGTTGGATAATTCCATAATGTCCCCTCAATGCTACTTTGAATACTATTAAACGAGTATGGTGCTTCAATTCACAATCTTGCAATGTGTAATAAAGACCAGTCAGTGCGGTCCTTTCCATGTAGAGGGTTACTGGTCTTGTATCCTCCCTCCTCTTGTAGTTTTCTGCAGGTAGCCTATAGTGGGAGGATCTAGTGGGCCCCATCCACAGCTCTGCTCTCTGCACAGGCTATGTGCAGCACAGTGATGACGTCACCACTATTTTTGCTAGGTAATAACAGGGTTTAAAAAGACATTTGGTGCACATAAAGTCGATTTATATCCTTTGTGTTTGTTGCGGATTACATTTAGATTAAAATGTTTGCGCCCATAGTTCAGCTGTAGGAGAAAAAACACATCCCGGCAAGGACCAAGTATCACTTACATCCATGAAGGTGGGAAATCATCTGCACTTCGTGGCTTTCCTAATTTCAGCATGATCATCTCATGCAGCTCCAGAAGGAAGCGGTTTGTGCCATTCTGCTCCAAGAACACATTGAGTGCGTGCTGCCTCTCCTTGTCTAGTTTATGTTTGTAAGCTGTGTCCACACTGGCAAATGGATCCTGAAACATCATAATACACTTGGTTAGAAATACATTTGATCTCTTTATACAGACATGTTAATTTCCCTAAAAGAATGAATATTTGTGACCTGCATCATGATGTGTGACTTCAAATGTCCACCAATAGCTTTTGTTTCTTCCCATCACAAGCTCCCAGTAGATAAGCTGTATTTATGGGAATCCCCAGCCACCCTGACCTTCTGTCTGATTCCGTGGATGTCGTTAGTATATGATGATGATAATCTAATTTCTACAGTTACCTTTAGCAATTTTAAATTACAGATTATCACATTTTCCATCCACCAATCATGTTAAATCACAGGCTTGAGACAAACTTCTCTATAGGGAGTCAGGATTTTTACACTGTTATGACCAGATGTTTTCTTGATCCAATTTTATTAGGAAAAAAGGTTTGGAATATTTCTTTAAACCCATTTAAATGTGAAAATCTCACCCTCTTTAGATGTAAAAGATGTTGTGACTTCAGTGCAGTGAGAAGCTGCCAAAGAGCGATTGTGTTTTTCAAGTGACAGCGTTTCAGCGCCTACAAAAAGAAAAAGAAAAATACAAATGTATTACATTACATGTATTTATTGGAGATGCAGGTCTGATTTACAAATCATTTCATTCTTCAAGGTTTGGCCCTTCTAAAAGTAATATTTTAGTGCTGGGTTCAATTGTCTAACCGATAAGTGTATCTTAGTGATAGAAAAACCCTTTATTTTTCTGTTTTGAGTATATTGAACAACAAATAGAACCTCTGTCTAATTTCTATCACTAAAATAAATCCACAACTAAATAATTAAATTATACAACAATACAAGAATAAAGTCCATAGAATACGTTTTCAGCACTTGAAGTGAGGCTTCACCTTTATGATTTGAATTATTGAAGCATGACCTCCACCACAGTACAAAAGTAGCAACTTACCAGAAAGTAAGGCCCCAATGTTTTAGAGATCAATTGTGCATTGTGAATGAAATCGAAGTAAAGTGCCCAAGCTTTAGGCGACGGTTGGGTTCCACGCTTCGACTGTCCCACCGCATACATGACAGAATGGAAAAATTCCATCCTGGGGTGGGAGTACTCAGAATAGGGCTGCTGGGTGTGAGGTGGACTGAGGTGGATCTATGCGTTGGGGCTCTCCAGGATCACAATAAGGAGCAACCCACATGTTTTCTTGCATGCTCCTTCTCCCACTCCTCCACTCCCCGCCCCCTTCTTCCCAGATCACATTTCCCTATCTTACACCTCCCTATTTATCTTTCCCATGCATTCTTAAGCCTAACCCATTTTTCTATCTCCCCCTATAATCTCCTTGGGTAATCGACAGGTCCCAGCCTGCCCGTATCATCCATGCCTTCACATCCCAGACCAGCACCAGGAGAGGGACTGGTTGCTTCCTCTCTTGCTTCATATCCATAGCTGTTGGGGAACTGCCTCATCCATCCTGTTTTGGGGTTAGGTTTCCGCTGGGGGATGCTGTCCCCCAAAGAGTTGGAAGTTAACCCTACATATGCTCATATCCCTAGAATGACCGGGCTCAACATGCTGTTTCTTTGCTCCCTTCATCCCGCATTCCCCGCCCTTAAACAACAATAACTTAGATCCGTATCTTTATGTGAATATGTTTGTGACACAAGGCTGCTGTGTCATTTGTATTCTTTTGTTCTTAATTCATAATAAAAACATGTTATAATAAAACTTATTTCATATAAAAAACCATAAAATCTACTATTGCAAAGATAGAAGCAAAACTGCACTGTTGCTGTACAAACAACACCACTGCTCAGATACTGGCTAGTAGCATGATGATGTCAGTGTCCAAAGTTACACCCTATGAGTTTGTTGCACCTAAGGACATCGGTATGGGATTAGACAGTCGCTTCTATTGACATCATTAAAATGCAAAAGAGGGGATGTGTGCAATAACAGGAAGGATGTATTAATCAAATACCTCCCAAAGGAGATCACCACCACACTCTTCAGGTATTTTCCTACAAACATCAACATAGATATCCTACAGAACATTATTAACAATAAAAGCATCAATATTCTCCAATATTCTATTGCCCATGCAATCGGGGTTATAGCGGTTTATTAAACCTATAATGAACCCCTATAAATAGAATATATAAATACTGATCGTCATTCCATATCAATCCAATCAGAGGAGACTAAATTCCCCATATGAAGGTAACAATATGCCCCAAATATATTGTTTTATTAACAGATATTTATTCCTTTTAATTACACAATTCACATATCCACCTGGTTTCCATTTTTGAAATAAATACATGTTCATCAGTTGTATCTTTGTAAATTATGTTTCCTCTTTTGCATCTCAATCATGTCAGTGTAACAAGTCAATGCCCATTGCCCGCGAACATCTGTTTAGAACTAAATGCCTAGGACAGCGCTTCGGACACTGATGTCAACATGTCACTAGCATGTATCTGAGCAGTGGCGGAACAGTGCAGTTTTGCTTTTATGTTTGCAATAGTAGTTTTTATGTTTTTTTATTTTATTTTATGTAACAGGCAATATGCACCATTGGAGCACTTTTATTTATTTTTATGGGCACTTCTAATGGAAATTGGATAATACATAATTGGGAAAGCAGTTGCAGCGATTTATGATTCCATAATCCCAGTTAATCCTCTATGGGGATTTCACCATACAGAAACACATTTGACCTTTAACATTCCAATCATTTGGTAAGTTTCTATCACAGTCTGTTGTGCCACTTAGTAGACTACCCCTCACTTGTTGTCTGAATGATCGCCTCTCACCAGTGAAGGGGAAATCTTTCCAACAGGTACCATGACAACAATGAAATACTGACAATTGTTTTGGTCAGTGGCATAAAAAGGAGAAGTGTGACTTCACAAAATCTACCTCAAGAACATGTGTGCTGCTCTGTTCTTTCATCTGTAGGACATCTTCTACATATTCTGTTAAAGAAAGTTCTGGATTTCCTCCTGACGTTGCCAGAAATCCCAGTGAGATGTCCACAATGTTTAAGGCTTCACAGACATCACTGAATGCATTCAGGTCTTTGCTTATGACATCTATTGCTGAGTTTGATAGACCGTCCTAAAAAAAAAAAAGTAAAATCATATCCATTAATGTTTTAATTGATTTTCACAAAGTAAAATTGTACCAGAGAGCATTGGAAAAAACTATTCAACTATTGGACAATCCATCTTATCCTTGACAGGGACATCTACTCAGTCAGATGGGGTACCAGCACTGTGTATACAGCCATATCACACCAATTATTTATTACTAATTATTATTATCACTACCATGCCAAAAGGTATTGAGGAAACTGAGAACTTCCCATCCACCCCGTGTGATACTGGTCTCCTGATGTGAATGTTCCTAAAATATACAATATTATGTGTTGTATAGCACAGTATGGTAGAAAACGGTGGCTATACAGGGGCAGACTATTGCCACACATCAGCCATGCATGGTGGATGCCAGCACTCCTTTGGTAAAGCAAGGCAGGCAGACTTTGATTTTGCCCCTCCTATTTAGATTGTAAGCTCTCACGATACAGGGTCCTGCTATCTTGCACTGTATGGTAACTGTAATGCCTTCCTTATTTTGTAAAGCACTGGGCAAACTGTTGGCACTATATAAATCCTGTATAATAATTATTATATAATATGATATGAATTTGAGAGGTGTTGTGATATCTGTTGGAGGTGCTGCAGCAGCACATTTTACCAATGAAAGACAGTCTGCACAGTAGCTCACATTCATGAAGAAATTGTCAATGTACGTTGGCCTAAATCTGAATTTCTATCCCAAACCAAAACTTTGTTTTAGATAGGGTAGGGAGCTATCCAAATTCAAAATCAGGAAAGTATAGCCATATAAGTTATAGTAGGAGGATATGAAAGCAACCAAAACCCAAAAATAAAACAGTAATACACTGCAGCTTAGCAGTCCTCAGATGTAGTGGCTGCATTAGTGTTCAGGCCTTCCCCCTGTATTTTCACCTGGTAAACCTGGGAATAACACATTTCCTGTATCTGGATGACTACTCTAACTTCTCCTATAGAGTCAGTCATGGATGTCATGGGCTGGACATCAAACATATCTGCCTTTGCTCATCTTCATTTCATAGTTGTTAATGAGGTTAGTAGTTTGCAAAAGGTAAAGATAATATTGTTTTTGCTGTGTCAAGAAACACAGGAAGTGACACAGACACAGCATTTCAGGTAAAATGAACAAGTATTTTCTGTACTTACAAAAAAATAATGCAGCCACCACATCTGTTGATTTCAGGACCGCCATACATACATACTTGCTTAAGAGCCGTCACAAGCCCAGCTGAAGATCAGAGCAGGGCAATCTGTGATCACCAGGTAACCATGGCGAGTGCAAAAACCTGTTTGCTGACCGGGATGTGACACAAAGGGCCCTCCAGGTCACAGGTCAGGTCACAGGAACAGAGAGGCATTGAGAAGTAGTGAAGGGACAAGACTTATATCAAGTCAGAGGGGGTAGGCATCCACTGTCACCTCTACATGACAGTGGATGAGGGTGGCATGGCTGGATGGCCTCACAGTGTTCTCTCTTCAGTGACTGTGTGATCAACAGCTGCCCTGTACAAAGGGGATCACCCTGCAGCACTGCACATTCCAGTAACTTTATGATGGCCACCTGAAGCAGCCACTCATAACTCAGTGTGCTGCTGGGACTGGTGCTTGGCTTCCCATAAAGACCTTCTTTGGGAGTTATAACAGAACAGAAATACCTGCAGACAAGAGCTGTTGATGCGTACATGTGAGTGACCTGATCTGCCCCAACTAGGGATGCACCGATACCGGTTTTTGGGTATCGAGTACCGATATTTTATTATTCTGTACTCGCCAATACCGAATACTGATATCGGAAAGTCCCATTAAGGAAGCCAGGCGTCATGTAATGACTCGCCATCTGGCTTCCTGATTAGCCGGGAGGTGTGTAAAGACTCGCCACTCGGCTTCCCGATTAGCAGGGAAGCCGTCTCCATGCTTCTCGTCACTAGCTGACGAGAAAGCATGGAGCCGGCTTTCCGGCAGTCCCACTCTATTCCAAATTAAGGTGACGAATGTAACATTCTGGATGTCCCATTACTTTCTGTTGTGGAGGCAATGGTCACCAGCACAAAAAGAGAGGATGACTCTCTGCAGCGATACTCAGACAGACAGCTGTATAAACCTGACGACATTTTCCCAATTCATACAAAACCAAAAAGTATTTAATTTAGATGCTCTTTAACACTGACAGGGGTTTCAAGGAAGAATACATTAGAAAAAACTGTGATTCCTCTTTAATGCATAGCATAAAACACGTATTTGAAATCTCGTACCTGAGGGAGTCTTTTCTTTAGATCTGTAAACAGGTGCTCATAGTTTCTGTCATGGGAAAGGGTGAGAGTTGGCAATCCCTAAAATGTACAAATATCTGTTTAGTTATACAGAAAGTAATACAGCTATTTGCTCACAGATCAAAGTACAATGTACTGCTCATTTTACAATAAATAAAATAATTTGTAAATGATATTCTGCATACCGAGTGCAGGATGTGCAATTGTATTTGCATTCTGCTCAATGGCAAAAAAAAACTTTAATTAAAACAAACTTGATTCAGCCACAGCACAAGTTCCTAATGATATGGTACTTACAACCATGGTGATGAGAGGCTTCCCTTGGAGAAGGCGGGTGGTGAGTTGATTCTGGATCTTTGGAAAGTCAAATTCCTGTAAAGTCTCTTTACCGCTCTCTAAACTATACTGGCAGTTGGATAAGATTATAGGCACTAGATCCTTTTCCAGCTCATAACTGATCACATGTAGATCCATTACTTCAGAAGCTTTAATGGAGTAACTAAAGAAATGAAAAATAAAGTATAAATTACAACTATAATAAAGATTTGACAGCAAACACTAGAAAGCAGCATATAATTATGTAGGTATGTATTGTAAAAAAAATGTTCTATCAACTATTGCATGTATTTTGTGTGTCTGTCAACTAAAAATCATCATTGTAATGATTGGTTTTAATTAGCTATGTCAATTATTATTTTATCAAAAATCTTATGACTGACTTCAGGGATCTTATCTAAAGTCCTTCTGTTTTTTATTTGGTTAAAAATAGTACAATTCTGTTATATGCTGTATTCGACCTCAGAACAATGTGTATGTATGTGACTATGCACACAGGCAAATGTTTGTCTGATTGTTTTAAAAAAAAAAAAAATAGTACAATTTAAAGCAAAACTAACCATGTGAACTACATATAAAAGAACCAGCCTCTAGCATAATGTTAAAACTACCCAACACCTCCTGTCAGGTTTATAGTGACAGAACCTTTTCTATAAGTGTCCCCAGCCAGCCGGCAAAGATTGCCTTCATATACAGAACGGACTAGGAGCTGGTCTTTGTTTAGGAGTGTATTTACTTTTCCATGATTTGTATACGCAGTGCTTGACCTCTCCTAACTCAAAGTTCTCACTAACCAATATGCTTATACTGTGCTTAGTGAGGAATTACATGGAGGCCAGGGGCAACAGACTCCTAAATGGGTGTGACAATGGAGGGAGCAGAGATGAACAGAATCTTACTTGTGTTAATTCAGTCTAAAAATTGAAATGTATTATTTCATCGGTTATTGTTATGTATACAGGTGCACACTGAATCAATTCCAGTTATATATAATATTATGTTTAAAAATGGGTGCAGAAAAAATAAGAACATACTTAGGCTCAATGTTGGTGTATTTTGCCAGTGCATATATAAAACTGTTGTGCAGTGCTATGAGGTAGCTGGTGAGTGCTGTAGCACCCAGGCCCAGTCCCTGCCGACGAGGAAGAAAAAACTCAAATTTGCTGTCCATGGTAAGGATCTCATCACACATGCCTTCTGGGAGCTTTATTTCACCTACATTTCCAGAAAAATAAAATAGCTGAAGTTAAAGGCTTAATAGGCACAGGGACAGTTCATGTCTTGTACTGCTCACTGGTTAATGTGCACTTGTCAAGTCTTTTTCAGTTGATAAGCTAACATTACAGGTAACATTAGAGGTATCAGGTAGCAGAAGATTGTTGCAGGGGCCTGTCTAATGAATTATATCAATTTTTGGACTTTAAAGCAGCCTCCCAATCCAGGCACACTTTGGTAGATCTAACCTAATAATATCAACCACTAAAACTAGTGTGGTTGACCATTAAGCATTTGAGTGGTCACATCGGTTTACTCTGTTGAGGATTCTATTTTCCTGCAGATGTTCCTCCTGTCATCTGTTGTTGCTGCTCTTGTTGGCTTTATCCTCAGACTGTACCTCGGTACCCTGTAATTGCCAAGTTACTTTATTTTTGGTTCTGTCTCCTGGCTTGTTTGACTCCTGGACTTGCTGTGTTTGTATCTACATCTTAGCTCCACACCCATTTTGACACTTAGCTCTGGTTAACCCCAGCAGTAACCTTAGGAAAACCTTGACTACTCCACATTTCCTAGCTCACTTTCAATAATGGGGTCTAAACTATCCCAACATAGCTGACCCACAAATACAAAACAGCATACATAGAAACTACACAAAATTTGCAAAGCCGTCATGTGACCATTTTCAGCCACAATACTCTAGCTATCATCTAAAACTACTTACTGTATATACTCGAGTATAAGCCGTCCCGATTATAAGCCGAGGTACCTAATTTTACAAAAAAAAACTGGGAAAAAGTATTGACCCGAATATAAGCCGAGGGTGGGAAATGAGGCAGCTACTGGTAGATAGATACCAATAAAATTACATGAATATTTATTTAAAAGAAAAACAATAACCTAGCTCTGTAAGTGGAAAAGGGGGTACAGGGCTACATATTATGTACTACGGATCATTTAACCCATTCATGTTAGCAGAGGATCATTGTAAATGTATTGTTGCAGGCACTCTATATGTACATGTACTATATACTACATATAGAATGCACTGAACAATAGATTTACAATTATCCTCTGCTAATATGAATGGGTTAAATGATCCGTAGTACATAATATGTAGCCCTGTACTATGGATCATTTAACCCATTCATGTTAGCAGAGGATCATTGTAAATGTATTGTTGCAGGCACTCTATATGTACATGTACTATATACTACATATAGAATGCACTGAACAATAGATTTACAATTATCCTCTGCTAATATGAATGGGTTAAATGATCCGTAGTACATAATATGTAGCCCTGTACCCCCTTTTCCACTTACAGAGCTAGGTTATTGTTTTTCTTTTAAATAAATATTCATGTAATTTTATTGGTATCTATCTACCAGTAGCTGCCTCATTTCCCACCCTCGGCTTATATTCGGGTCAATACTTTTTCCCAGTTTTTTTTTGTAAAATTAGGTACCTCGGCTTATAATCGGGACGGCTTATACTCGAGTATATACGGTAGATGAATTGTTCTTAATAAGCAGCATTCTCATGATCATATGACTTCAGGAGCTGTATTTCAAAGAATTGGCCAAAGCAGAGAAAGTTGTTACTCACCTTTCGTCTGCAGAGAAAGCCGCAGATGATTCCAAGCAAGCATGAAATGTTGTATACGCTTCTTAAAAATATGGTTAGCTCCATCTGTAAAAATGAATAGGACAAATGTAGCAGTATACTGTAGCTATTATAAACATTTATTTATATAAACGTCTACTATCTGTAATACAGTCAGGCTGCATATACATAATATGCCTCTTTTTACCTTTTTGTTATAGGTTAAAAACCCTGCACTTTAAGCACATAGGAGAGTCAGGCCTCGGCTCTCATACATAAGCTCTCCTGTGGTCTGACACCTCCCAGTGAACGCTGCTCTAATCAACATTACTCTCACTCTCTGAGCAGTGCAGCTGATTAAAACAGTATTTGGGGAGGGGGGCACACTGGAGATCCAGGCTGCTGTTTGTGTGTAAAAGCGGTTGTTTGACTCTTAGTGCCGCCAGCAAGATGTTTTTTAATATAACAAATATGGTATATTTATCACTGTTTATGTAGCATTACTGCATTGCAATAATAAATTAAGAGGGAAACATAAGAATTCACTGCTGGCATCGATCTCCCAATCCATCCAGCAATAAAACTTTCTCCCCCGAGGGCGCAACTTCTCAAACTTACAGGGGAGATCTTCACAACATGTAAAAGGAACATACAGAAAAGCACCTTCTCTTCAATAAATATAGTTTTATAATTGTTAACAACATGTAAACAATATATTTGTATGCATCCCCATGCATCTATATATATATATAAAACATGTTTTTAACCATTATTTTACTATATTTCACAAAGAGAAGGCACTTTCTGTATGTTCCTAATAAATTAAGAGGGTACAATTGGATTGCATTGCTGTACTACTTTAAATTGAAGACAATCTAAACCCTAACTAGATGACATTTAAGCACTATGTTATATACAATTAACATGTTTTTTCATTAAATACTGTGTTTATCCTTTTTCCATTTTAGTGTTACTGACATCCTGCAGCTTGTTTAGCTACTTCCTGTCTTCATCCCTATGCTCCAGTGGTAGCTGCATTTCATTGCTCTGGATAAGCTTTCTGATAGTGACAAAGAGGACTATCTCTGTGCAATGTGCATTGGCAAGGTTGCTTACAGTATCCATCAGGGTGCATGTGACAGGGTGAAATTACAGGAGCACAGTTGGGAGACAGCTGTTACCCTATAATGGGAAGTAACTGAACAAGGACCTTCATAGCAGAATAACCAAGTATCCTTTAAATAAAAGCTGTATAGTTAAATAAAAAATTACTTTTGAGATTACATTACATGTTAAAGTCTTGATGAGATTTTAGGGGTTGGGTTTAGATATTTTAGGAATGATAAATGTTCTTTCACAGCATAGCCTGCAATCTTATACCCATTAGTCGACTACCATTAATTTCCTATGATGTGTTCTCAGGAATATTTGGTTAGTAAACAAGGTATAACATACACTTTATAAATGGTCCATTCCGGAGAGTTTAGGTTAGATTGGATTTATCCCAGTTCATCATTTAATAGCTAATGTGTTCATAAATGTTTGACACGTACCAGTCTTTATGCTTTGCAAGAAATCTTCGACAGTTTCATAATTGATGTCTTTGTAATTTTGGAACTTCTTTACTAAATCCTTCTGGAGTTTTAAAATATCTGGCAAAAACTTCACCATCTGTAGTTCTGTTTCCTGTAAAACAGTACAAAGTAATGTGTTAATAGTTTTCTTTATTTGGAAATATTTCTAAATAGCAAAACATTCCATGGGGTTGAATACTATTGTAATATATAATATGTTTGACAGAATTCGGAGATCTAATACTTATGAGCAGTTAATAGTAAGGACAGACATGACATGCTAGATGTTGTAGTCCATAGTAAATAGCGAAGTATACAATTACAATCACATCATACCAAAAACAATAACCAAGAACTTACTTTCTCCAGGAATTTCCAGAGTAGAGGAAGGGTGTCTTTTCCATCCTGCTGCTGGACAGTATGTAGTATATATTCAATGGTGATCCGTTCTCTGCAGCTCCATATCTTTGAGCAATACACATTACTGTCCTTTGGCAAGTCCATCTTCTCTCCACTTATCAGAGGATCACCATACACCACCTTTACTACAGGATTGGAACTAATTCTCTCATCCTGACGGATGTAATTGTTCACAGTCATGAGGTCCCTGTCTAAGCTCTGAAACCAGAAAAAAATATTTAGAAATCCAGCAACATGTAAAGTCTTCTTCTCGATACTTTACATAACAAGTGCGAAACATTTAACCATTTATCTGTCACGGATCATAAGGAGGTGATCCAGAAAATGAATTCTCTCCATTTACAATGCTAATAGGAAAGGGATTGTGATACAAAGGGCATGGGGAGCTGGACACTGCCCTGGGGGACATGTACTAATGCAAAAAATGTAATAAAATACTATTCAGTGGAGAGATGGGCTGCCACTTTAATGCGACTAGAAGGGTAGCATGGCAAAAATAGCAATGTTTCAAATTACATGCTACAGAGATGGCTTTAAGCTATAGTTGTCATCCTACACAATTGTTATCTTTTGTATCACTTGCCCCACTTACTAGATTGTAAGCTCTTACGAGCACGGCCCTCCTAAACCTCTTGTATTGTAACTGTAGTGTCTCGCTCCATTTGCTTAAACTGTTGGCACAATATAAATTGTGTATTATAATAAAAATAATAATAATAGAACATTGTGGTCCTTGGGGACAGCGTCATCGACTCTGTATCCTGGCATCAAATAACTTGTATGTGTAATACATTTCTTAAATATTACATTAATGCTTGGCTTACATAATGCATAAGCACCTCTATCTGATTAATTTTAACTTGAAAAAGGTTTCTCAAGTAGTTTTTGCTGTAACAAATAATGTTTCATCTAGCAGTAAGAAGCAGCAGAAAAGATGTCCTTGAGCTGGAAAGAGTCCAGAGGAGGGCAATCAAACTTATTAAGGGGTTTGAAGACCTGAACTATGAAACAAGGTTGTTAAAATTAAATATGTTCTCTTTGGAGGTTAGGAGATTAAGGGGGGACACGATTTTCCTGTATAAACTATTCATGGGCGACAGCAACATTATTAACAAACTGTTTACGATCAACTCCGTAACAAAGACCAGAGGGCACAACCAAAAATTGGTGGAAATTTTTTTTTCAACACACAGGGCACAAGGGGTTCTTCACAGTCAGAGCGGTTAAGGTCTGGAACTCGCTGCCGCAGGAAGTGATCTCAGCTAAGAGTGTGGAATCATTCAAGAAACTCCTAGACGTGTTCCTCGCAGATCATAGCATACAGGGGTACAGGTACGCCTAAGAGCAAAATCCCACATGGACTAATACACATGCACACACCTGCTCAAACATAAATGCATACACACAATAGGTTGGACTTGATGGACTTATGTCTTTATTCAACCTCAAATACTATGTAACTATGTAACTATGTAAGTAATAGTCAGAATTAAACATATGAAGTAGTAGACAGAGCAGATCTAAGTTATCGGAAGGTTCACACTACAAAAGAAAAGGTGGCTGGCAACAAGGGAATGAAATGCTAATGGGGCCAGATTATAAGAAAAAATGTAATCGTCACATCAGCTGGGGTTTGGCACTAAGTGCTGAACAATGACTGGTTCATTTTTATAAAGGTGAGCTGGTCAACTGTGTCTAGGGACAGGCAGATTCTTTTTTATTTCACAAAACCACCTGCTGCACTAATAGCCAATTCTGAGAGCCTATTAGCCTCAGCAGCCCGACTGCATACTGGGCAAGCACGAGCCTCAACAACCAGTAGTCAAGTGGGTTGTCCATTGACAGGTTGTTCAAATCCAGACTTGAGCACATATACAGGTGAAACTCGAATAATTAGAATATGGTGCAAAGTTCATTTATTTCACTAATGCAACTTAAAAGGTGAAACTAATATATGAGATAGACTCATTACATGCAAAGCAAGATAATTCAAGCCGTGATTTGTCATAATTGTGATGATTATGGCTTACAGCTCATGAAAACCCCAAGAACCCCAAATCCACAACCTCAAAAAAGTAGATTATTACATGCAATCAATAAAACAAGGATTGTACATAGAACAATATCGGACCTCTGAAAAGTACAAGCATGCATATGTACTCAGTACTTGGTTTGGGCCCCTTTTGCAGCACTTTTGCACGATATTCTAATTATTCAAGTTTCACCTGTAATAATTGATTATATAAGTTATGCCCTACCTGTGACTGTTGCTAGCAGCCCAGCTTGGGCAATACATCGTTATGAAGTACCTGAAAGCCTCCATTAGGCAGCCACTGCCACCGCTGCTACTTCTTCACTGCCATGAGTATCTGAGGCACATTGGCCATGAAAGGGGATCCCGTAGCTCACTGTGAAAGCCATTAAGTGTGTGTGTGCACCAGCAAAAACATGAAGTAGATTGTGTTGCTGATCCCCACCTTATCACAGCTCACCATTTGGTCACCTTTTCGAACAGTGACAACACGGTATACAGTACATGTTCTGAAAAGGAGACCCTGAACCCAGTTACCCAGAGTCAGTCCTTGCCCCATATTTGCACAACTACTCATTTATGGCCCACGGATGCAAGTGCAGCCACTGTAGCATAGTCAAGTTCCACCATGCGGGCATATGAAATATCAGGGGCTTGGCAGACAGCTAGTGTTGCCATTGAGGCAGCTGAGCAGTGCTGCACACTCTTTTGGCCTGCCACAGCACATTATGGAAGCCAGAGAACTAAATAAAACACCCCACCATTAAGCTGGGGACGTGTGCCAGACAAGGCATGTGTGAACTTTCTCTGGTGAGGGGCAGACAGCACAAGATGGAGTGGGGTCAGCCATCTTCAGCCTAATCAGCTAGGAGAATCTCAACACCAGCGTGGCTCTTTGCTCCAAGGCATGTCAGCTGCAAAACAGAATGGCAGATTGTGCGAGACTGGTGACAGTGAGTGTTCAATGGATGAGGCCATTGAGGAGGAGACACAGAGGTGACTGAGCTGTCACCAACACTAAGTCGCACAACAGGGACGGCACCACCAGCTCCAGTGGTATGCCTCGTCCTGCATTCCTCCTGACTTCCAGAAACCGACCCAGTGGACCTGCCCATGTTTTCTGGACCACATGTCTGTGATCATGTGCACCCTGCTGCTGACCGTGTGATCCAGTGACAAGGAGACATTTCCTTTCACATGCTGGTGGGGGGCAAGGATGGATTTCTAGATGAAAAAATGGTGACCGGGTACCTGCCACTGTGGCAGGCTGCAAATTTGCAGTAAGGGGCCGGACTCCACTAGCTGGAATGGGAGCAGCTGTAATTTAGCAAATTTTGCCAAGCTGGCATTGAGATGCTGGGTATGAGGGTGACTTGCTGCATATTTTTTCTTCCTCTCCAGCAGCTAGGGAAGAACCACCTGCCTGATCAAAGATGTATCTGGAGATGGTAGGGTGGGGTTTGGAAAAGGTTTGTGTGAGGTTGAAGCCTACACCTGGCCCTACTAAGTGTGGCTACATGCTGACCCTCTTCCCTATTTAATATGCAATAAGCTATTCCTCCCAAACCCCTTGTTAGACTACCATCTTTATTGCTTAAGGCTGAAGATGTTGCACCAGATGCAGCTGAAGATTCCTGTGGACTGGTGGAACAAGTGTAAAATGGAAAATTGTATACTTACCTACCGGTAATTTTCCTTTCCTGATGCCAATACATGGCTGCATACAAATGGGTTTAGCTCCGCCCCTCACCCAATCACAGGACAAGTTATACTATAAATTAAAACACGCCTCCCAAGGTCACCATTCTCGTAACAAGCACTCAATGCGAAAGCCATGGGAGGATCCATGTATTGGCGTCAGGAAAGGAAAATTACCGATAGGTAAGTATACAATTTTTCGGTTTCCTGACAGCAACATGGCAGCATACGAATGGGACATAGCAAGCAAAAACAAGGGAGGGCAAAGCCGAGATATTTATCTATGTACACAATTGTTAAACACATTCAGAATGGTGGCCTCGGGAGGTGTGTTTTCATTTATAGTATAACTGGTCCTGTGATTGGGTGAGGGGCAGAGCTAAACCCAATCGTATGCTGCCATGTTGGTGTCAGGAAAGAGACATGCAAGAAGGAAGAGGATTGAAAATGTACCATGCTTGATACGCTGCAGTCAGGGGCTGCAAATCACAACAGTACTGTCTACAGCATATTATGAAAAAGGACCACACTGCTGAGCCTTGTAGAGAGGCCCTAAGGATTTCAGTGGCCGTTTGGGCAAATGACAAACATGATTTTATGCTTGCTTTGTTTAAGTCCTGCATAGAAAGGAAACTTTAATGCTACTGGGAGTATTTTATTTGTTTTAGCTTATAGGTTTTTTAATCAATATTTTACATTTGTTTATATATGTATACAATCTTTGTTTTCCAAATATATATTTAATACATGACAAAGAATTCCTGGAGAACTACTTCTTTAGTTATCTAAAGAGTTTTCTGTCTTTAGGTAAGCTGTGTGTAACTGAAACCTCAGATGGAGCCATTTCATAACACATGCTTTTGATTCACAGCTTCAGCTACTGAATTCTGAAAACAATAGGCTTTTTAAAATAAAGGAGATATGGCAGAATTTGTAAAAAGGAGTCTAAAGACATACCTTTTGCCTGGATAGAAGACTACATAATATTAGTGTGCAATATTTCATAATTACCTAACGTTTTTTATCCTTGACTATAATAAATTTAAAAAAAATACAAATGCACCTTTAACTATTTAAAATGCATATACAATTGTTCCATAAAGTTCTTTTAAAACACCTGTAGAAGTTTTGATACAGGAATACCAAATGTGTTTACATTGTTAGAAGTTCTATGGATCCGAAGTGTATGTATGTGTATGTTATATATGCAACAGTGTGCTGTATATGTATTTATATATTTTTTCCTTTTATAAAATTTTATTTTAATTTCCCATGGCAAGTAAATGATCCATAAGTGGCCTGAACAGCTCTATTCGAAGCCCTTGTGTGCTTCGAAGAGGTAAACTGGGTGTCCTGGGTTCACTCTGGAGAAGCGGATCCAGCTTCAAGAGAGCGGAGCGTGGCTCTGTTCTCTCACATTGTGGATGACAATGGTAGCCTACCAGCTGCCAGACCACACCCACAGCTCTTACATGGCTGCTGTCACACTGAATGAGTATTGATGAGCTTGTAATTATAAGGCAAACCAGATAACGCTAATTTAATAACTCTGGTCAAATATAAAGCAGGAATTAGATTTAAAGGGCTGTTAAAAACACAATGTGCAAATGTAAACATCTAATCTGGATTTTTGGGTAATGCAAAAAAGTTACTGCACATGAGTTCAAATACATTTCTTACCCCGAGCACAGGGGTAATGACCATTGATACAAAATGCTTCTCCCAGTTGTTCCTCATTTCTTTGGTTGACCATACTTCATCAAAGTTGACAGGCCCTGCAGGATACAATCACACAAGTAAAGGGTTAACGAGGATTCTTCCATGAACCAAAACTTCTCTCAGCTTTTGTTCAGGTTTCCTGTCTGTGTTTTAGGAGAGTCCACTCACTTCCTGTACCCAGGCACAGAGGATACCACGGGAGGAAGTGCTGGTAAACCTCCATAACAAAAACCTAGCCAGCAATAAAAACTAACAGAAGCACTAACACTCCCCTATTCTTTTCAAAACTGAAGAAAAGAGAAGTTTAGTTTTACTGTCCAATTACCACTAATGATGTTCAAACAGGTTGCACTTCCAACAGTTGGACACTTATTGTAAAATGATTACTAAAATATACTTACACTGCCCAGAGCGTTGCGGACTCAGCATTTTGTCAAGTACAAGATGTATAACAGTTGTGGTGTCATCTGTGCTTTTCCCAAGACTGTTCCTCAGATATTCCAGATCTCTTTCAATGTGACGAAAAACAAAATTTTGAACATTTTGAACTGGTGGCTTCACAATGCACATCAGGTTCTGTGAAAACGAATAGTGCATACGAAAACTATAGTCAGCATTTTTCATCTTCTCCAGTTAAAGTGACACTAAACTCGAGAGTTAAATCTAAAAAATGCATTCAAATACCCTAACTATTAACAAAAATGTATCTTATTTGTGTATCACTCGGCTGTAGATCCTCAAATCATCTTTGAATTTGTGCTGACACTTTCCTTCTTTCTGGTCCCTGTGTGTGTTATTAAGTAGCCACCACTCCAAGCTTGCTACCATGATAGACTATGACTTCAATACAAACTAGTAAACTAAACGTTATATTGTTGTCCCTCATGGGAGCAAGCCTCCAGAAGGAAGGACAGTGTCAGCACCAATTCAGAGATGATTTGAGGATCGACAGATGAGTGATATACAAATAAGATACATTTTTGTTAATAGTTAAGTGACATTACAGTTAAAGATATTTTTCCCTCCCCCCAATGTTAATTAAAGCACTTACCTTAAATGAGGTTTCTTAATCCGATCTTCTTCTTCTTTCCTGTCATTTTCATCTGTCCCTCCAGCGCTGCTGCGGGTCTCCGATCCAGCGCTGACTCCTCTATCCTTGCTGGCACTTCCTGTCCCACGGTGTCTGCATGCGGGTGCACGCCGTCCATATACTTACCTTGTGTCTCTCCTCGCGTCCCGGCCAGAAAATGTGAACTGCGCATGCGCCTGCCCCAAGATGCTTTGCGGCCGCCCGAGATTTTTCACATTTTCAGATGGGAGCGCGCGGGGAAGACACATGTAAGTTTAAACCGCATTTAAAGCGTTTTTTTTTTTACACTTTTTGCATATATCTACTGCTTGCTAGAAGTAGATATATGCAAAAACACTGGAAGGTTTAATAACCCTTTAATGCATTTTTAAGATTTAACTCCTGAGTTTCGTGTCACTTCAATTATTTTGTTTCACATTTTGTTAGGTAATGCTGTAATAGAATAAGAAGTCTAGTATAAACAATAGGAATATTTCAGATGAATAACCAGACTTATTCTCCATATAAAGACAAGCAGATCTTCAGAGCAGAGAACTGCTTTTTAAAGAAAATACATATATACATAAATAAAAGCTTTCTGCAATAGATAAACACCTCTAAACACTCACCTCAGTGAGTCTGTCTACTGTCTTCAAGGACCACAGTATCAGGGAGACTCTTCACATGTGACGTATGGATGGCAGATGGAATTGCAGCACATGGCGGGGGATGGAAGCATCCAACATTCCCAAAAGTGTCAAATGGTGAAGACTATGTCGGAGGCGGTAACACTTAAAGACAGATAAGTTTTGGACTTGGCGCCCACTAGCGAGGTGAGAATTCAAAGACTTCTATTGCAGGGAACTTTTGTTCCATTTCTTTAAGTGACACGATTAGTTTACCATTGATTTAAGACAGTTTAGGTTATTTGATCATTTTATACAGAGGCTACTGGGAGTCCCAATCATATGTTTCAGATTGTCCTTCATGAATGAACCTATCTTAGGAATTCTGTATTTTGCCCATAACAACCAAGATTATCCTTTTAATATTCTAGACAACATTACCAACAGTCAAAAAGACATCCTAATGGCCGGTGTACACCTAGGCGACACCCCACCGTTCGGCAATCGTGCACGATTGCCACACGGTCGGGAGTAGCCCAGGTGTGCGCCGATCGCGCTGTGGGTGCCATTTTTTTCCAATGGCACCCTAGTCGCGCTGGGTGGATAGTGTGGTTTGCCGCCATGATTCCGCCCGTACTTCTGAACTTTTAAAACAGCTGCGCGCCGTGTATCGCAGACAAAAGGAACTTTTTCTTATAGTTTTAAGGTGCCCATACACCTTACAATTATCGTTAGATTTCTTTTGTCCCGTCATCACACCCTCGTTCAATTTGCGCACAAATAGCCCATCATGCACAGACCAATGTAGATTTCGATAATCGTTCGTCAGCTATTTCTGGCCGAATAGGTGGCCGAATTTTGACAGAACAGATTTTCGTTTGCGCATGTGCAGTGTTCATGTTGCGATTTTTGTTGTTGTACGAAAACGCCACTAATCAATCGATTTTTGTTCGTTTCAACAAAAGTGTTCTAGTCTGCCCGTTCAACCAAATTTGGCTAGTTGTACAGTAATTGCGATCGTGCACTTTCCATCAACTGGCCGAAAAGGTTCACATTAATTTTTCGAACAATAATTGTAAGGTGTATGTGCACCTTCAGTCATCATAACTTAGTTTGTATGTAGTTTGTGTCTAGTTTTAGTCACTCAAAAAGTGTTGTTGACATCAATTATTAGTCGATAATATTAACACTGGACTCCATTCAGGGACACAGGAAGTTATATACTGTTAGGGAATACTGCTGCCTGTAGGAGGACTGCACACTGGTCCAAGAAAACCCTTCCTACACAGAGGGGAACCTCTATGGCAGCAGTTCTCAAATGTGGGTCGCTGCGTGCCTTCTGCTGAGCTAGCTGAGAGGCTCCTCAGCCTCCTTGTAGCGCAGCAGTGTCAGTTCTGCTGCTGGCCGCCAGATGTCGCTGCTGCAGCCAGGGAGGAGCTGACAGGATTAGGAGTAGGATGGGTTATCCTGAGCTGGTCTATAGTTTTTTTGTTTGCCAGTGTCTAATCCTCCTGTGGGAATCAGTACAAGCCAACAGTATATGACTTCTTGTGTCCCTCAATGGATGAGAAAGAAAATGTAATTATGGCCGCATTTAAGCAAATGTTCCAGCAAGATACCTGCGTATCCTCTTCTGATCCCAGAAGCATTGCTAGATGTGTTATCATCCTTAGTAAAATAAAGGCAGGGGCTGCTATATCTCGGTCTGGAGCCACAGCTGGGCCCTGGCGATCCGGGTCTCCCAACACATGCCCAGTCTGTGTTCGGTCTTCACCCTGTCTGTTAAAAAAGAAGAGACATTTCCAAAGAAATAAAAATCATGTAGTCAGGAACATTTTACCAAAAAAGGTAAAAGAGCAATGGCACTAGGAATGTGAGAGCCTGGTGTCCCACTTACACCTTACAAATGAATAAGATTGAATAGTAAAGCTATCAAAAAGTAATATTTCAGAACCTGGTACTCCAAGAGGCCAAGACAATACCTGTTTTATAGCTGAGCTCTAAAATGCACTTTATTCCAGCAATGTATTCATTAAAATTACTTTTAATTTATTTTTTTTAAATACAGAAAGTATAAGAGCCAGAATTTGTCTTCATATGAGCTTTTGCTTTTCCCTTGTATACTGGGTGAGAAAACGACTGCCCTGTCAACCAATATGGCTTTACTACACTGCATAGCATTGTCGGTCCAACAGTGCGAGCAATGTGGTGATTCTCCTTCAAGCTGTGCAAGCTGTATTAAGTACAATGGAGAAAAGTGAGGTTGCAGACCTGGCAGAGGTGCATGCATCACTGACTACCTGGACAGAATCACAAATCCTTTTTCAGATAAAGCAGTTCCTATAATATGCATGTAGCTTCTTGCCTTGAGTTTAACTATAAAGAGTAGTAGTTTAGCTCCTGATAAGATGAATTTTATGAAGTGTTCACATTGATGCCAGGCTGGCAATTTCTAGCCAGTAATAATAACAACAAAAGCACAAGAAAACAATAATGTAGAAACGGTGAAGAAAAATTCAAAACTTACTGAATTCTCTGGAATCCCGGAAGGGCTGCATGGTTTTCGCCTCCAACCCTGGCACCACAATCCAGGCATTGACCTGTCTGCATTGGCTGACCACACTGTTTAGAAATTACAGCAAATTATGAAAACATCTTGAGCGAAAAAAGATAATTTGATATAAATCTAATTTTTTTTTTTTATTAGGGGAATCCTTTTCTGAAGGAATTATAAAGATCACAAAAACTCTCCAATATATTGCCTCTAATTCAGAGTAATTAGAACACTTTTCGCCTTTCCACATTCCCGGCCTTAATAGTTTGTGGGGTGTTACAGAGATAAAGGTATCAGCGGAATTAATCACATATAAAGCAGTTGAGAGCTAGCAAGTTTTGGTCAGGGCACAAGTGATCTGACAAGTGAATTTATGGCATATTCATGTATAGCCAGTAACTTCCAAAGGGTCTGTATTGATGGACATTTGTTCGCAGGCCAATACAAGTCTATGGGAATGCAAAACCTGCCTAAAGCAGGTCAAATGCAGGTTAAAAGGAGGTAAACTGCAGGTCAAATGCACCTGTCAACAAATTCTGAATATTCTCATAAGCATCTCAAACTAGTATCAAACTGATGCCATCAGCACAAGCTCAAAGCCTGTTCGACACAGGTCCTAGTACCCCAAGTAAATACAATTTGGGTCTGTTCCTTCAGTCTTCACCAACATCTGGGAGACTCTTCCCACTATACTGTGGGCAGGGCTAAGCATTGTGCTGAGAAGCTATCCAAACAATATTATCAGGATGCTCCTCTTCCATTGAGTGACAGCTGCTTGTAGGAGCTGTTGTGCGTTCATGGGAACCTGTGAAGGCTCAGCAGCTTAGGACACATCCTATCAGACTTTGTTCATGTCAGGTCATAGGTCAACGAACAATAGCACATCCATCCTGCAGTTTGTCATTCGTCTCTCCACACTGCTGTCTCCAGAAAATACACATAACACATCGGAACTAAGACCAGTTAAGCTCCCCCTAGCACCCCTCCCCTCTGCAGTCTTGGGACATACACAGGAATAAGAAAAGATAAAGACAATACAGTCAAGGAGAGGGGGCAAGGACAAAGCTGAACTGATGGCCTTAGTGCTGATGTGGTATGTGTATTGTCTAGAGACAGCAGTGTGGTGGAGAGAGGGGAGGTGGAACGAAAGACAAACTGCAGGATGGATGTGCTAGTGTTAACTCTGATAGGATGTGCCCTGAGCTTCTGAGCCTCCACAGGTTCTCATGAACGCACAGCAGCTCCTACAAGCTAATAAAAATATATATGCTGTTATCACTCATTGGGAGAGGAAGATTCAGACAGTAATGAGCATAGAGCTTAGCCCCACCCAGCGGCGATCGCAAGTCGCCGTCCGGGTGCTCGTAAGCCGCCGGCCGCGTCCCCGCAGGTCGCCGGCGACTTACCGAGGAGGGCAGCTTGCGGCGGTGTCCAGTTGATTATCTCTGAACCGCGGCGCTAGGCGTTTGCGTACCGCGGCACCAGCGGAGCAGCTGCCCCGACGGAGGGTGCCGCCCTAGGCAAATGCCTAGTTTGCCTCGCGGTAAATACGCCCCTGGCCCCACCCACAGTATATTACACTGAAGTTTAAGCTTATGGGGCATTTTTGATTACAGGAGTAGATTGCAAAATGTATTCCTGTATCATAAGGAAACTAAAAATGCAAAAAAGGTATACCCCATAGTTCTCCTTTAACACCATATTGCTTGTCCATCATGAGTTACATTATGACATGCATACTTTAAATCACTTCATACTGACAGCGATTGTACCCTGTGTACATTGTAATTTAGTGCTGAGGCTCATATTAGCAGTCATTCATGACGGTTATATTAAAGTGTATGTCTGGGCAAATAGAAAATCAGCAAAATACATGCACGTTTTCCATGTTCCATCTGTTTAAAAATTCAGCAAGTATAGAACAATACCTGTTGATCCTGCCAAAAACCACATGAGCTCCTAACTTCCTAAAGAGCTGACAATGCTAAAAATAAATCATAAGAAGTGTTATCAGCCCTTCCCTTTTTACCTCTGAACTACAAAACACCTTCTCTTAGGTTAATAAGATGAGCAGAGGAAGTGGTGTTCTGTAGTCCTTGCATACTTCCTGTTCTTGACTGAAAACGCTGTTCCACCATAGATATAGTACAGTTATAAAGCTTTGACTACACCAGCCATGCTAATATTTCCCATAATTGTAATGTGTGCAAAGTGATGTCAAGCTTAGCTTACCTCTCCGATAGCACAGTAGTGGCCATTGGGACAACCTGTAAGAAGATAAAGTAACATGTTTATACACTTAAAGTAGATCTGCATGCAGAATATGAAAAACTTTTTTTTTGTTCAAATCTAGCATTCAGAAAAATGCTTCATTGTAATTTTAGCACTATCAGGTTTTATGTCCATCTCCACCTTCTGTAGCTTCCTGCACAGCAAACGTAGAAAAGAAAGGGGCAGCACTGTACTGCTGATAGGAGCACAGAGTGAGTTTCTGCTTATTTGTTATCAATCTATTTACAGGGTAAGTATTTCAACTTTGTAATTAGCTGTTCTGCCTTAAATTGTTTTTTAGTTTTGAACACAGTTTTAGTTTTGAGTCTGCTAGGACTGCTGACATTACATCCAAGATGGTGGAATCTTTGAGCAGTCTTAGGGAGGGACGCTTTTACAGGTAAATAACATGCCTAAAATATGTTAAATATGCATATAATTATATAAAAGGCTGGTTTTTAAAATGAAAGGTCTAGACAAAGGGTCTCTTTAAGCATCCCTGCTGCACTGATATGCACACCTAGAGTTCAAGCATCCTGAGGTGCCTGCTATGTGCTGAAATTGCTGAGCTAGATATTTGTGCCTCAAATAATAAAAAACTCAACTGGTACATAACACTGTTCCACACTGAAAAAAAATTAAAGGAGAATTATGGGGAGAGTCAAATACATTCATCCCCATTATTAGAGCCAACGTGATACACTGAAGCTGTCACAAATCAGCTCTATAGTGATCTGAAACTGAGCGATCACATACTGCTGAGTTCCCGATCTCCCTGCAGAGATTCCCCCTCTCTCTATTCATCCAGCGCTGTCAATCAGGCGGCAGGGTGGATCAGGACAATATGCTGCTTTTTGGGTCACAGGAGAACATTAGTATATGTTGTCCTGTGACCCTAAAGAGAACTATGGCAAAAAAGGTTGGGACATAGTTCTCTTTTAAATCTTCAGACAGAGCCTAGATCTTAGGCCAAGGTTGCTCTATGGGCAAGCCAAGCAAGCATTAGCTGATATTTGGTATGGCCTGGATCAATTCCATCATGAAGGGCATTTACAGTATCCAAAATTATCAGTGAAAAGAGTATACTTACAATACCATTGCAGTGGTTCTCTTATTACATTTCTAGCCTTGGTAAGCATGTCCTCTGGCATGGTTGGCAAGTAGGAGTTCTTAAAACAGAATAAAAAAACATATATTTATATACCTACTTGAACATAAAGTATATTTAAACTAGGGATGCACTGATACCGAGTATTTGGGTGAGTAAGAGTATGCTCCGATACCTTCCCCGATCCCAGAACTTCTGGTCAGAGGAAGATTTCCTCTGACCAGCAACGCCGCGAGGGAACATGGAGCCGGCTTCCCGGGCAATCAGAAAGTCGGGTGGCAAGGAATGACCTGCCTCCCAACTTCCTCATTGGCTGGGAAGCCGGTTCCATGCTGATTGGCTGGGAAGCCGGTATCTTGGCCAATCAAATCAAGTCGGCCAAACAACATGGAGCTGGCTTCCCAGGCAGTCAGGAAGCCAGGCGGCATGTCATTACCCACCGCCCGGCTTCCTGATTGCCCGGGAAGATGGCTCCATGCAAACGGAAGCACCGGTATTGGTGAGTACCAAAAGCAAAATAGCGGTACTCGATAACGTAAAACCGGTATCGGTGCATCACTAATTTAAACCCTCCTATAAAATGTATGTACTATAGTAACATTATAATGATGAGGGATTTCTGTTTTTTGTTAAATCATATCATATTTAGATGAGTTTAGATAATCGCTTCATACATGGCACTGTGGCACTCTGGACTGACTTCCAGTTTGTGCACCAGAGACTGAGCCTCAGTTGCTCTGTGGTTGATGCTGGCGCTAAGGCTTAAGAGAGGGCAGTCTCGGTGGCTCAAGACAGCTGAATGTCACCTTAAAGAGGAACTTTACCCATATCTTCAAAATAACAACAAAGGCACCTTTAGACATGTTCAGTAATGACAATCTACAAATAGAAACTTCTAGCTCATTGCAGGTGTTTCATTCTTTGCATACCCTATTTTTATTTTCTTCCTCATTCTTCTCACAGTGGACATATTTACTAAAGGCAGCTGAATCCATCTCCTTTTACTTCCTGGAACTCTGGCACATGTGACTAGGACGTGTGGCCATGCACATTACCTCTGCATGCCGATGTGATTTTTAGCCAAAGGGGGTAAAGTTCCACTTTAAGGAGTGAATGCCCTAAGGTGACAATGTTGCTTCTGTGAAGATTCATACATGAATGACTGTTTTTCCAGGTAAGGCAGATTCACTATATATATATTTTTTTTTTTCTTTCTTTCTTTCTTTCTTAAACATGCACATATGATGAACAAAACATATCAATATTTTGACATTTTGAATGCATCCAGTAGGTTGGTCTCTTGTATTCGTATCACATTGTTCCAAGGTCTCTTTATCTGCTCTTTTAAAAAGCCTGTATACAGAGCTCAGTACTTTAGTTTAAAAAGTAAACTCCTATTTTTAAAATGCTAATCAGAAAAAACAGTGCCAATAACCTAACTTACCTGCATTCTAGCAGAAGAGAATGAGATATTTTTTAATGGTGCCAAAAGATTGTTATTTCCAGATAGAAGAATGGAGGCCAAGTGTACGGCTAATCCAAAGATTGTGACATATGACCCGCTCATGCCGGGGAGAGCGCGGAGAAATGGCCGGCTGTTGGTCAGCAGAGTCTCCAAAAACTGTTTCAGAAATCTGTCCTTGAAAATGTTGGCATTTTTTATAAAATCCATCACAGACTCCTGTTCCTGCATCAGACATATTAGAAAAGGTATTGTTTAATTAACAGTGCGTTATAATCAGCTGTGAAAGGTTGAGGTAAAATATGCAGCAGCTGTTCACTGTGTATTGCAGCAGTTTGAACACTAAAGCAGGAAAAAGCTGCAGTTCCTTTTTAGTGTTGGCATCACCAGCTACTTATACTTTCCTTACGATAGCTCCCCCAGTGCTCTGTTTGTGATAGATCATGTAATTTGACAACACTGGTATCTGGCAATGAAGGCACATGGTCTTGACACATGGGGATAAACAAAGAGTCCTCAGCCCTGTCTAAGCCCCAAATTACTTCTCCTCCCTCCTGTAGGTGAATGGGGTAGCAGGGCATTAAAGGTAAGATTAGTATAACTAGCTGCAGGGACTGGCAGAACCTGTTTGTGTCAATGGGTTCCAATAAAGTTAACAAATCCAAAAGGTCCACTTTAAGGATAACTGCTCCGTTGTGGTGAAAAAAAATAAATAAATAAATGCTATGCTGTGCCATATTGTTTATTCAAGATCTTCAGTGCCAGTTCTATACCATGGATGTTGTATATATACACATTACAGTCTGATAATCAGCATATATACAACCAGAGAAAAGCACTTCTAGAAGCTACAAAAAGAAGACATTCCCTGCACGTGAAGACCTGATAGAAATAAAGTAAAATGAGATTTTGGAGCACCTGAGGATGGGGCAGGGCCAGACTTTAAAAGACAAAGTGGGTTTTTGCTTCTAGGTATCAGAAGTAAAGAGACAGACTCCCCCCCCCATTATCAGTAGAAAAGGTATCTTATTTCTTTGAGCCCCATAACTTGTAGGCCTTCAGGCTCCAGTGAGCAGTGTGGCAGATGGCCCCTTGCTACCACACCTCCAAACAGGATCAGTGACACTTTTACTTTTGGACTTATTTAGCTAAACCCAGCTCATTCCAACATGCCACGTGATTTTGGCCAATTAACTTTAAACCAGCATTTCTTTACTTTTTTCAGTCCCGGGAACCCTTAAAAAGTATGCAAAATCATGAGGCACCTTGGTCTAAAAATTAAGAAAATCCCTCCTTTGACATCAGAAACCCCTTCACATCAAAAGCCCCTTTTCACCAGAAGCCCCCTCTTTTACATCATCTCTGCTTCTCATTAGAGTCTCCCTAATGAGAAGCAGAGATATTTTTATATGACAAGTCCCCCTTTACATCAGAAGCCTCCCCTTCACATCAGGAGCCCCATTACCATCAGAAGCCCTCATTTTACATCAGCAGCATCCCTTCACATTAGAGTCCCCCTGTCAAATGAGAGCACCACTTAACATCAGAGTCCTACCTTCACACGAGAGCCCTGCCCCCTTTCACATCAAAGATTCCCCTTCATTCCAGGAGCCCTCTTCACATCGGAGTCCTACCTTTACATGAGGGACCACAGTGGCGGCATCATGGCAGAAGGCAGGAGGCAAAACAGGCATGGAGGGAGACTAACTTCCATCATTTTCTGAATGGATCCCACCCTCTCTGGATTAGCATAATTCTTTTCAGGGTGTTGCAACATGGAAAGGCATGACCCTGTGAACATTTCAAAGCACCCCTGAGGAGTACAAAAGGCCCCCATGGGGAGCCACAGCAACCTGGCTCAGAAAGGCTGCTCTAAACTAGTATTGTACATTTAAAGGTATCAGGAGATCATCTCCTGACTGTTCTCCATCCTGAATGTGTGGAAGAGGAGAAATTAAACTGAAGGGGTTTGGAAGTAGCAGGACCCTTGGGAGCAGTCCTTACAGCATAAAAAAAGAATAGTATATTAACAAACCTTATTCACTTGAAAGTACAGTTTTATGTCAAGCACCCAGTAACTTCTATATTGACAGGATATATTTCTATTTGAGTTATCTTGGAGTATTTGAATCCATGATACATTGGTGCGTACTTGAACATCCTCCGTTTATACTTAATTGTGATGGATCCTTTTTAGAGTATGTACAGTTACACAATACATGTTATAAATAAAACAATATGAAATAAATAAAACTGCAGATATTTGTAGCTTAGCAAATTATTTGATGACTTACAGGTGATGTATTTTGTTGACCATTATTACGGACCCCATAGCACAAGGTTATTTCCCGGAATACAGCGAGCAGAAGGTGAACAGCCAGTTTTTGATCCCGATGTTTACACTCCTTAAAAAAAGCACAAGACAAATATTATCTTATGAGCTAATAAGTTTAGAAATAAAGCAGACATCCAATCCAATAAGGCAGTAATCAGAAATAAATAAGATGATATTCAAAGTCATAAGCTTCAAAAAGAGACCTTTGCAGTTCTATGCAGCACTTTTGTACACCCCTGAAATGAAAACTGGTTTGTGCACAGTCCAATTCAGGGAGTGGTGATTGCTGTCTGTATGAATAGATCCTACACACCTAAGCAGTTCAGTTGAGGCTCAGGAGGTTACATATAGGTTTAAGAACTCAAAGATGGGCTGAGGAACTGAGTGGGCCAAGTTTTTGGAAACCTGTAATGTCTCTAGATGTACTGTGGGCAAGGACAGGAAGTAACCAGAGACTAACAAGTGCTCTGTGATTTCAGTTAAAGTGTATGTATAGCCAAAACTTTTTTCTTTGGATAGCGTTTAGAAGGGTTAAATAACAATTAGCTTTGGATAACGTATGGAAGGGTTAAAACCCCTAGCTGGTTATTTTTTTCTGTCCTGCATGGAGATGCAACAGAAAGTTAGAGGAAAAGGGAGGGCAATTCCTATCATAGACAGTTGTCACTGGAATGTGTCACCATTAAAAGATTTCCAATAAACTATTGCTCTCATGACAACTCTAAAACTGGATTTACTTACTAAGATTTAGGATTTCTACTAACAATTTGCCACCGTGGCAATAGGGGAATCTACCTAGCGTTGACCCAGACTGCAATAACATTTTCACACTTTTTTCTGGAACATTTCTTAAGGAAAGATAGTTACTAATAAACTTAAAGTGACATTAACCCTTTCGCTGCCAAGCCCTCCGGAACATTTTTCAAATCAGCTGGCCAAGTCATGTTTGAATTTTCTGCAATTTTTTCCTATTGATTTGATTTTCAACTGCTGCGTTGCTATCGTTTGTAAAAGACCCCCAAACCATATATTTTCTGAAAGCGTAGGCCCGGTAGAATAAAAAGATGGTTCTCACTGTTGAGGGGGGTCGCAGCATCCACTTCTGATGCGCTAGGTGAGAGGCTCCTCAGCCTCCTCCTAGCGCAGCAGTGTCAGTCAGCGGGAGGACAGCAGAGCCTACCAGCAGGCAAGCAGGTAGCAGGGGCTGGGGAGGGCTTGTATTCTTGTGAGTGTGGTTCTATTTTTAGTCCCAAGTCCAGCGCTTTACTAATTCTGGAGTCCAGCGCTCCGTTGGGGGTCACCACAACTTGGCAAATGTTACCAAAGGGTCCTGGCCCTAGAAAGGTTGAGAACCACTGCCTTAAATGATGTCTCTTTATCCGATCTCCTTCTTCTTTCCTGACGTTTTCAGCCTTCTCTCCAGCGCTGCTGCAGGTGTCCGATCCAGCGCTGACTCCTCTGTCCTTGCTGGTACTTCCTGTCCCACGGTGTCTGCATGCGGGTGCACGCCGTCCATAGACATACCTTGTGTCTCTCCTCGTCTTCCGGCCCAAAATCCGAACAGCGCCCGCCCCAAGATGCTTTGCGGCCGCCCGAGCATTTTTTTTTAATTTACAGGAGCGCGCAGAGAAGACACAGGTAAGTGTAAACCGCTTTTAAAGTGTTTAAAAAAAACAAACTTCTTGCATATATCTACTGCTTGCAAGATGTAGATATATGCAAAAACACCCGAGAGTTTAAAAACCCTTTAAATTCTTATATAAGCTAATACAACAACTATTGTACACAAAGCTCCATGTTATGCATAGATGCTTTTTATGAAAAGTAAAATAACTGATCTACATTAGTGTTTGGTCTTCTATTCTAGAATCGTGTTGACAGCACGGCTGTTTCTGTATGTATTGAGTACAATGCCAGCTGTTGCAGATTGAGTTGTGTGATTTCACAGCTGCGGAACTCTAAATGCATATCAGCAGACACTAGAGTACTAGTTCTAACAACTAATACTAAACAAATAAAACACTGTAACAACATGTGGCTGACAGATGTAATAGTGTAATATAAACACAAAAGTAGCAATATACTTGAAACTGATAGGATTGTAATGGTGGCAATATGACTAACCCAAGTCGGGTAAGTACTGATGCACAGAACAGGTCCACCAAAAAGCTAAACTTCAGGTATACAACTAAATAAATGAATTGCATATATATGGACTGTTATAAATTCTCATTTTCTGCAGCCTGGATTCCAATTGCTGCATTTAATAATACATTGCATTATTTTCTGTTTTTTATATCTGCCTGGAATTCAGCTTTGATGAAATATGTTAGGATATATGAAAGCATATATATATATATATATAAAATAAACCTGGGATACCTCCATGGCAGTTGCAATCCTTTCTTCTTTGCCTTCCATCATTGCTCTGCTTATACCTTCCCTCAGTACTTTGTAACTTTCTCCACATACCAAGAAATGGTCGATGTGATTTGTCTCAGTGTTCTGTAATAACAAACATGGCACCATCCGGATAATAAATGTCAAGATTATTCCCCATACATATTGCATATTTCATCTACAGTACTTGTTCTACATTTTCAAATAATATTACACACTCAGGGCCGGCCCTTGGGGTGTACGAGCTGCGACTTTTCAACTCCTCATCGCTTGGCCATCCGACAGGAGAGCGCTCCCTCCCCACCCCCCTTCAGCGCTGTCCTCGGATGCTGAAGAGAAAGTGTCCGCTGAGGCCTGCGGGGGGTGGGGGGGGTTGTTGGGGATTCGGTGTCTACGGCGCAGGAGGGAGCGCTGCCTGCTGTCAGGATGGCCGAGCGGTAGGGAGAAGAGAAGCTGCAGCTTTCAGGACGGCCGTGCGGTGAAGAGAATGGAGCTGCTGTCATCCTGTCAGTTTCAGGATGACAGCGGCTCTGTGTGTGGCCAAGCGGAGGATCGGTAAGTATCATTGTATCACCGATTTAGCCCAGTGAACATGCTTGAAGCAGAAAACCCTAATCCATTGAATTCAGGGAAAGAAAGATCCAAATTTAAACAGCCTCTCAATAGTTATTTAACAGGGTTATTCACAAAAGGGTGAAGAATTTGGAGAAGACAGGAGAAATTAACAATCTAGGCCAAAATAGCTGATTTGGAAAATCTCTCCAATTCAGCTTACTTTCCGGCTCAGCTATATTGTACTAGATTGTTCACTTCTGCCTTCTCCATACCCTTCACCCTTTAGTGAATAGCCTGTAAATATAGAGAGGGAAGGAGACCTTTAACCCCTTCATGACTGAGGCCTTTTTTTCATTTTTTTGTACCCATGTTATATTCCACATTGTAGGCCTGAAAATGACTTAAAACCCCCAAACATTATATATTTTCTTAATGCCAAGACCCTATAGAATAAAATGGTGGTAGTTGAAAATTTTTATGTTGCGCAATATTAGCGCAACTCCTTATTAAACCCCAACATTTAGTGAAAAATGTAATTAAATGCCCCAAAACACAACAAATACCCATTGTTTTTAATGAAATAAAAAAGATGAGGTTACAACGATACCCAACATGCCCAGGTTACAAATTGCTTGCGTCCGTGAAAAGGCGTCGAATGTCGGCGGCATTTGGTTACTCACTCATTGCCGTTCGGCCCCTATGTGAATAGGGGTGAGCGGCAGCGAGTGAGCTGCTAGAGAATCTGGATCGGCTGAGTCGAAGTCTGGATCGGCTGAGTCGAAAAAACTATATACTGGTGTGTCAGCTGTGTGAAATGAGCCTAAAATACATTTGGCAAACCTGTGCCATAACAAACTTTTAGAAAAAATCCTGATAAATTAGTGAAAAATGCATAGAAATGAAAACAGAGAGAGCAAAAGGCTAACAGACACTAGGATGTTTATTTTCTATGTTCCCAGTATACTGCATTTCCTTTACATGAACACAGATTTAACAATAATAGCTTAGAGCATATCTTAGCTCAAAACCCAAAATGTAATATATTGCAGCTTACCTTAGATGAGGTGGCTGCATTAGTTTTTAATTTGTCATGTTTTTTTTTAATACTTGATTGACCTGCAAATAACACTCTTCCTGTCCCTTCGTGGCTATGCTCATTTCTCCATATTATACACTGAGTGGCCAGATTATTATGACCACCCCATCAGTACTTCGTTGGGCCACGAGATAACTCCACGAGATGACTTTGTTGGGCCGCCTCGTGACGAGATGTTGAAAGGTGATGCGAGGAATCTGACACTGCACTGTTGCCCTACTGTTGTCTTGTACCAGTCTTGCCACTCTCCGTTCTGCCCTAACATTGACTAGTTGCTGACAGCAACAATACGCACGTTCAGACCCAGATTTTCGGCTGACAGTCCAGTCTTTTAACAATGAGCCCCTCTTGAACATTTAATGAATTCTGCTGTTTTGCTGATACACGCTCCATGGCTTGCGCCAACAATCATCCCACGTTCAAAGGCTGTTAAATTGCGTTGTTTACCCATATCTTCACAAAACAATCACTTCTACTGTCGTGGTAAACAACCTGCTTCCCTATTTATAATGGTCTGGCCCTCTAGCAACTTCAGAGCAAAATTATAGCTAATTATAGCTAATTTGCCTACAAACATCAGGTGGTCATAATAAACTGGCCACTCAGTGTATATGCGGGCAGCCAAACAAGTCTGCCTTTGATCACCTCCATTACATGGTGTATTAGTGGGAGTAGTCGTTTACGCAAGAAAGATAAGGATGTTTGAGCTCTCTTTTACGCTCACAGCAAGTGACAAGGACACTGCATTTCTGGCATGATCAACAGATATTTTCTGTTCATGATGAATCTGAGGACCAGTACTCTGTAATATATAACATTTGTGTTGTTGGGTTTAGATACTTTTTAATGTATTACCTTTTTCTGCAACATTTCTTGAGGGAACAGCCACCTGAATGCAGGATCTTTAAAATGTCTTTGGACCATGTCTATGCCCTCCAGGTTAGCCAGTTTGCGTATTAGATAGACTCTGTACCAATCATTGCCAGACTGGGAGCATAAATCTTTCACACATCTCAGGTACTGTTCACTTATGGATCCTGAAACAAAAGTCCAATATTACGTAATAAACTAACTCAGTAACAATGCTACACAGCAGGACAGTTAAATAGCCAGGATCAGTAAAGTGACCCAATTGTGAAATAAAACCCCAGAAATATGACAAAATAGCAAGGTAATATTTACATTATCCAAATGAGTCATCAGAGATAAAATTCTCACCATAACAACCCATCTAGCATATTAAGGGCCCATGGCCAAGGCTGGCCTGCTGCAGATTTTCTAATGCTAACTTGACTGTTTGTAAGCTTACTGTGTCCCCAAATAGAAAAGAGGCACCCCACGGGCGTCACTAGTAATCCGATGTATGTAAAGGCGGCTTTAATAACAGCCAGGACCTTGATGTTAAAAAATGTATTCTAGGGAGTCTACAACGTTACAAGCATAACAAGATCCACAGGCTCTGACATGGTCTATGATTAAGCCTTTTTGAAGCATGCCAGAGCCTGTGGATCTTGTTATGCTTGTATTGTAGATTCCTGGGAATAAACTTTTTTACATCGAGGTCCTGGCTATTGAGTGTGGCTTTACATACATTGGATTACTTTGTCCCCAGTTATGAATGAACAGGAAGTGCTCTACACCACTTCCTTTTCATTCATGCTTGTGGACATAGTAACTCATACAATCTCCTTAGTTTATCAATGGACAGGAGCACTCCTGAGGCTTCCTGTTCATTTATAACAGGGGCTGCAGAAAAAGCGATTTAGCACTTTGTGTCCTCAATCTTTATCTATTTTAAAAGGGAAATATCAGGGCTCTGTTTAGACCCCCACTATTTCCCCAAAACCCCTAACAGTAAAGTAAAAAAAAATAATATAAAAATTAATAAATACATAAATTTAAACATTTTTAAAAAGGTTGGCAAAACAAGTCATTTTTCGGTTTCAGCCTGACAAATTATTTTAATTTCGGTTCTGGTCTACAAATTTCATTTTGGTGCATCCCTAGAATAAAACCTTAAATTTACAGCTATAAGAGTCCTTATTTCTGGGTTACATCATGTAATAAATTAAAGTATCACATAAACCCTTTCATGACCCATGACGGGATAATCCCATCATGAAGTCTGAAGGGGTTAAACAGACTAAAAGCCGCCGTCAGTCTGCTCAGTTTTGTAGAGCCGGTGGCTGGCTTTACAGTAGAAGTGGTTCTGGCGGCTCAGCTGCCGCCAGATCGCTTCTATGATCCAGTAATCAAGCGCCCCCCCGCCTTGTTTCCTGGGTTCCGCTGCTTCTCCTATGGGCCCAGGACTGGCTTGCCGGGTGTCGGTGGGAAGCTGAGGAGGCGATTGGTGAACGTCAGTTCACCGATTTCCTCCCCGTACTATGGGACTCGGAGCGACACGTATTGCATCAGTTCCGGTCCCATAGCTGTCATTGCTGGGCTCCTGAAGCACAGCAATAAGCTATTGAAGTGCGATCTGCACTTCAATAGCTTATTTAGAATGTTAAGGTGACACCGGGGGTCTTTTGGACCCCCAGCATCACCTTAAAGAGTACCTGTCACTGCCAATATGCTATCACATGGGGGGCTTGTAAGCCCCCCTATGTGATAGCAATTAAAGTAAAGTAAAAAAACGTTTTAAAAAAGTCCCTCCGCCCCAGCAGGCACGCGCGTCGCCACTTAAACATGCGCCGGGTGCGCCTACGCACCAAAGCGACGATTATGCTACACATGTTGAGTATCGCCGCACACGACAGAGTGAGACCAATAATTCTAGGGCTAATATTTACACATATGTCTAAACTGATGACCTGTAGGGGCTTTTAAAGCGTGATCTATTGACTTTTTGGGGTACTGAATTCTGTTGCAGTTTCACAGACGCACACAATTTTTAACCTAGGCATGTTGGGTATCTATTTACTCGTTGTAACCTCCTCTTTTATATTTTATTTAAAAAAAATGGTTTTAAAGTGTTTTGGGGCACTAAATTTAGTGCATTTTTCACTAAATTGTCGGGTTTCATAATAAGTTGCGCTAATGTTGTGCAACATAAACATTTGCAACTGCCACCATTCTATTCTATAGGGTCTTGGCTTTCAGAACATATATAATATTTGGGGGGTTTAAGTAATTTTCAGGCCTAAAATTATGATTATAACATGGGTGCAAAAAAATGAAAAAAAGGCCTTTGTCCTTAAGGGGTTAATACATTTATACATCATCAGGGCCACCATCAGGGGGGGTACGGCCGATACTCATGTAAGGGGCCCAGGCAGCCTGGGGGGCCCGTCCGGGACCCTTACATTATCGGCCGACCGTGACAGACGAGGAGGTGGCCTGCCCTAGCAGCACTGGGCCACAGCATTGCCAATCCAGTGACTCGGAGCAGGCTGGGGCCCCATCTGTGACGCTGCTCTTCTGATCTCGGACCGGCCGGAAGTGACATCATATCACTTCTGGCCAGTCCAGCGGCTGAGGAAGCCAGGTGTGCAGGCACCAGGAGCAGGTAAGAGGAGCTGGGAGGGAGGGAGATGCAGACCTGACCAGCCCACCTGAGACCACTGCAGAGTCCACCTTAGAGAGTATCAGATGGCCTGTGCAGCATCTATGGTGGGCTCTGCAGGGTCACTCTCAGGTATGTGTGGGCTCTCAGGTGGGTCCTGCGTCCAGTGCGTCACTAAGCCCTGTGTCCAGCGCGTCACTAAGCCTTGCATCCAGTGCGTCACTAAGCCCTGAGTCCAGCGGGTCACTAAGCCCTGAGTCCAGCGGGTCACTAAGCCACGAGTCAAATTAATTTACTGTTTTGCACTGCTGTATAAATGTATTGCTGGGATTTGTAGTCCCCCCTACATCTGGTGCCATTCTGCAATAGAGTGTAAGCTCCTACAGAGACTGATTTAGCCCACTATTCTTTAACTATGCTTCAGACTCTGATCTATCCATAACAGAAGCATCTCCGGATTGTGGAGTGTGTATATGCTTCAACTAGAAATAGAGCAACTCCTTTAACTTTATTGGAAACCACATTAATGTCCCACTCCACTTTCACTACACCTAAAATGCTTGCCAAGGTCTGGGTGTCCGTTAGGTCCTTGCGTGCTCTCTCAGATTACACTACTATTACCCCACTCTGGAACAATCGGAAATCACCTGAAGTACATAAATTATAAGGATTTATTCATTGGCAGAGGGCAGAGATTCAGACACTGTCACACATTTATTTTTCTGGTGCCCTTTGTTCTTTTCAACAGCTCCAATCTAAATTTCACCGGAATAGGACCCAATTTTATCAATATCTTCAATTACGCCATGCCCTTTCTGCACACTCTGGGGTTGGTGGTGTAACTATATCTGACACTACTCTTTTAGATAAAGTATTTTCCTCAAATACAAGAAGTGATTTAGGTCACTGTATTTTTGTTGGCTCCCCATGTTGTGTTTTTTCGATATGTAAAATTGGAAATTCTTTCAATAAAAAAATATCTGATTCAAAAGAAATAGAGTAGCATCAGTATAATTACTGGTTCAGGTGCTGCCTGCCCATAGTATGAAGGATCACAATGGTCTGTGCTAGGATGTTTCCTGACCACTGCTAATGTTGCTGCTTTTTGTCTTTGTTCTGTCATGCTGGGAAAAATACTAAAGATGTCCATACATCTACCCTCATTACTTTATACAGGGCTGAACAGTTCAATGATGGTTGATGTCTGTCTTAGCAACACCCCAACACTTAGGGGCTGATTTAAAAATCTTTCACCTAGCATACAGTTGGGCGAAAGCCATTCAAGCAGCATTATTGCCACTAGATGCCACAGAGGAACATAGAAAATTCATGTGCTCCTTAGAGCCATCTAGTGGTGGTAGTGTCATGCAAACGGCAATCTCCCAGCTACACGCTGGGCAGAAGATTTACTAATCAGACCCTAATCTATCACTGAAAGGATATGTAAACCTTCACAATTAAATTCTCTTACTTAGTCCCTTTTTGTCTGTTATATATATCATTATAAGTGTTTTGTTATATGTGTTCGCTAAGAGCAAAAATACCTGTGATCCTGCCAGAAATCTTGTTAACTCATAAATGCCTGTGCTCTCTGCCTGTGATGAAGCCATGTTAATAACAATGTTTCCAGCGATCTCTGAGATACAGTAAGATGAGTAACAGTGTTACCCTAGAACAGCAAGTGTGTTACTGGCAGGATTATCAGGTAAAAATAAAGGAATAAAAGCCAGAAGAAACAAAACCAATACAACCACTACATTTTAGCACTGTTAAGCTGCATTATATATCATTTTTTGTTCTCGGGTTTAGATGTGCTATTAACCAATAGCCTAACAGTGAATTAACCCCTGCCGCAGCATACCTACCTTATCCACTGCATGATGCATCAATGCCTAAAGGTACTATTCATCCGCTGAAATGTAAGCCTGCTAATCTGTCAGCGCTGAAAACTATAAAACATTTCTGCCTGTGATCTCACACCTACTGCCCACTGTAACTTATAATATCAGGAATGTGATCAAATATATGCTTGTCCCATGTACCTCTCAGTTTGACTGACATCATTTCTGCCGCCACATCAAGTGCCAGCCTCACTCTGGCCACATCCTGAAGGAGTTGAACAGATGTCTCCTCTTTTTTTTGCCGCTTGCAGCTTCTTAAGTAGTTTTGCAAAAACAATGCTTCCGTTTCAAAGTATTCAAGTTTTTCATCCTCATTTTGAACTTTTTGTTTTTTTTCATATAGTGAATCCTGCAATAAATCCCAACTTATATTAAAATAATACACACATATGATCTTGACATCACACATAAAAGACTGTCATAGTAAAAACATGTCTCTTTCTTTCTTTACTAAGTGAGGCATAAGGCACACATATGTGATATAAATATATAGCCCTATCTGTCCTCTAAAAAACAATATATAATATGTGTGGTGTGGGTGCAAGAAGTAAAAAAGTATATTACTACCGTGGAAGAATCACATAGCGAAAATGTAAAAAATGCTTCAGTTATTAACGAACAGAAACGGAAAAAAGCTCAGTCATGAAGGGGTTAAAATCAGAGTTGCTTATGATCACCTGTTATATTTAGGTGAAATAAGATTTTATTGAAGGTATTTTATAGTTAACATACAAAAGAGAAGAGGTGGGAGGGGCAAATATCAGGACCAGAATATGAGTACTTAATTTGAAAATAATGTAACATTTACATTCGGCTATACATTCTCATGGTATCCAGTACTGCCACCCGTTATATTTTAAATGAGCCTCATGAAAAAGTCAGGAACCTACTATGAGAAAGTCTTACCTCCAGACAGTTAATGAATAGCAGGTATACTTCTTTTGTGTCTACAATTTTCAGAAGATTGCTTCTTTTGACTCTGTCTAAATAATCTTGTGCATGTTTCATTATATTGTCAAAGCTAAAATAAGCAGAGCCAAAACAAACATATGTTAGCCAATCATTTCAGAATCAAAAGAGTACAAGATGGCCGAATGTCCTTATTAGATTTCCTGTTTACCTGTACTTCAGCAGCAGTTTCAATATGACAGAGCGTATCACTGGAGTTTTGTCCACAGCATCCTCAAAGGGGGAAAGAGACCGTGTGTGACTTACAGAATCTATATTTGGAAAGAACAGAAACAGTTTACTTAAAAGACAACTATAATGATTTTGGATACATTTTATCTTACATTTAAAGTTTAAATTGATATTTTATATATGTTTTCTAAATAGTTATAGAATTTCTTTGTTTTAAAAATAAACATGTATTACAGAATGGGGGGTTAACATTAGTAGGCGTGCATTGCAAATAGGGATAGAGAGAGTAGAAGTTTCACACCCCAATATATAATGCATAGAAAAAAAGAGAACTGTTCCACTCTAAGGTGTGCAACTACCTAGAGGGAGAGGGGCTTTAAAAAAACATTCTACATCTCACCATATAAAATTTAGAGAAACATTTATTTAGTACATAATCATTGACATGATTGGAAGATAAAAAAGGAGGAGGACATATATATAATAAAGAAAATAGGCCAGCCTACGGTAATTCCACCCCTGTAATGCCACATTTTTCTTTTGTATCAAGACTGTGATGTGACCCTTAGCCACTGGGCTCTGCATGTGGTGCCCCCAGAAACCTTGTGTAAACCATTATTTCAGTTCTGACCATAATACATAAGTACATAAACAATACACAAAACACTATACATTCTCAGTTAAAAAATACATATATAATAAAAGATGCTGCTTACCAAGCTTGTCGAATAGAAAGGATATTAGATGGTGTATGACCTCATCATCTGGTGGTCTGTTGTCCTTGAAGCACAAGTTGCATACAATATCCATGAAAAATCCATTGCACTGCTTTCTAAACTCAATATTTTTCTGCATGGACTCCCTTGAAATGATAATCAAATAGACAAATAGCACTGAGTGGTCACCCCAAGACAGATACATCCATTATCAATTATCAGCACCTGGTGTTTTAGGCGCAGTCTCTATTAAACAACAATAAATAGAAATAGAAAAAGCAGCGTTGCCAGCCCTCACTCAGGGCTTGTTCACACCAAATGCAGACCAGATCTGCATGAGTTTCTGCACGCAGTGCAGTGGGTTGTGCCGTGTTTCTGTCGCATTTTTTATGCCTTCCAGGCCGCTTTTGTAAAAAAAGAATGGACTTTCAATGTGTTCCAGGGCGTTTGCATGCGTTTTTGATGCGTTTGCAGGCGTTCCAGAGCAGGAAAAATAGGGCTTGCTGCAGTTTTTACATGCTCTGGAACTGAACGCTCCGGTGTGAACTAGAGCCCAATATAACTTTGAAATACATTGGACGCAGTTTTGATCCGGTCTGTAACTTCTCTGCTCCTGGAACGGCGCTTGGTTATCATCTATTTACTTCAAGTCAGTTGTCCCAGACTGGGTCAGGATGGAAGTTAGCTCGCATAAGGGACCCTCTATTGAGGCACTCAAATGGATGAAATTCAAGCAGAGGCCAAAGACCCTGGCGCCAACTTTAATACATTCTTTAGCCTTATGGGATCAGATCCAAAACAAGGAAGGGATGGTCTCTTCTCACACTCCCCTCGCGCCCCTATTTGAAACAGTCAATTTCATGCCAGGATTACAGTTAAAAACATTTAAATGGTGGATAGATAAAGGATTGTATAGGATTGGGGATTTTATTAAACTCTATAAACCAATTACACATCTTTATTGCATAAACACTCTCAAGATGCCTCACTCCGAATATTTTAGATTTAGACAAATTAATCATTTTCTACTCACTCTACATATTCCCGTGGTTGGAGCCCCGCTGTTAACACAATATGAACGGTGGTGCCTAGGAGGGTTAGGTCAAAAGGGAGGCACGTCCCTGATCTATGATGCCCAACTAGGATCATTTACAAAAACAGCTTATATGGTGGCTTGGGAGATAGAAATAGGGATACCACTCTCTCTAAAAGAATGGCAACAGTGTTCTATAAGATCAACTAAGGGACTGTTAAATGTTTCTCTCTTAGAAGCCAACTACAAGGTCTTTTCCCGATGGTATCTTGTGCCAGCAAAATTAGCAAATATGGGCACAGGCGTCCGTTCGTTATGCTTCAGGGGCTGTAAACAGCAGGGCACTATGCTCCATGTCTGGTGGCAGTGCCCAGGATTGCGACCTCTCTGGAACAAGTTGTTTGCCCTGCTTTCTAGGATTCTCTGGATCTATATCCCCAGAGACCCACAGTATATATTACTAAACAAATCAATCCCGGACATCTCTAGAACACAGGGCAAACTTGTTTCTTTTTTTTTCCTGGTGGCTAAGATATCAAAAGCTCGGTCCTGGAAAGCTGAAAAGGTTCCATTCTCTCTGGTGCTGTCTAAAGTGAATTGGATCATGATCCATGAGAAAATATATAGCATTTTGCAGGACAGCTATGCAGAATTTGAAGCAGTATGGGAGCCTTGGTTGATATACCAAGAGATCTCAAATGCACACAGCATTACTCCCGATGCTTTAGCTTAAGCATACCTGTTCTGCTGCTTGGAACCAAAGGAAACCATAATTAATGCTTTAATTTCTATAATATAAAATGATCTTTCGTCTTCTTTGTTTGTTTGGTTTTTCTTTTTTTATTTCTTTTTTTTTTGTAGAGTAAAAAGTTTTTCCATAAGTTCTCATATAGCGAAAGTAGCTATACCTATATTGAGAGGCCCCGCACCCTCATAGCTAGAAGTGACCGTAAGGGAAGGGTGAGCCCCTGGAGGTGGATGAGGGCAGGGGCAAAAATGAATGTTAATAACACAATTGGTTTACCCCCTTTCTTTCCCTTGATAATAGCTTAGATGGTCTATGGAAGGGTTGGGGGATGCGGGGAAATAATGTTGATGTGAGAAATACAGAATTTTCTGTTTTTTGATACATATGTTAAAAACTGGTATTAAAGTATGCTATATCTTATGGAAAACCAATAAAAACTTTGAAATCTAAAACGATTGTCAGCGTGGCCCTATTAACTTTTAAAGAATGAAAAAAATATTCTGAAAATAACCGTTTTTGTACGAGAGTATAACTGTGTATTACACAGCTTTACTTGTGGGTAGGACTGTGTTGCTCTGCATGTTAAAAGATGCAGTCTGGTCACCCCCCTAGTGTGGTATGATGTGGAGCAAAGCTATGCTGGAATCCACTTCTCTCAGCATAACCTGCATAATGAGCATTGAGTGCAACTCTCAGCCCAGGATAAAATCCATGTGGAGGAGTAGAGCCCCGACCCTCAAGGAACGACTGTGACTGCTAAACAATCAAAGTTGTCCCACAGGTCATAAGTGGGGAGTGAAGATGCCTTACTGGAAGTGAGTAGCCTGGAGAGGAAGAACTGAGTTCTTCCATTGTCTTGGGCTCTGGGCTTCAGATCTGACAAAGGAAATCAGTTAACTGATTGTAAAATGGAAGGCGTTAGCAATTACTGAAAACTACAAGGTTTTTACTGGTCCTGTTAGTGCCTTCAAGAGGAGAGAAAAATAACCTTCATTTTTCTGGGTCTGATAAAGAGGTTTAGATGAAGCAACACACAAGCATTATATGACCTCAGACTGTCATTCATGGATTGAATGTAGGAACTAACTATAACTGTATGATACCTGATTTCTTTAGAAACAACCATGGTGAAATTTTCTGGCAGCTCCTTTTTACACAATGGACAAGTCCTGTTACGTATGTCCAGCCACTGCTTTAGACAGGACTGGCAATAAACATGGCCACATTCAAGGCAGACCGGCTCATTTGGATCACCTTGGCAAACTGCACACAATTGCATTCCAAACCTATAGGAAAACAGATCAATCAGTAAAAATGATTAAAAACATTACTTTGTAAAACTGTTTGAAAAATCAAAACTCTACTTTTTTTTTTTTGGTGTAGAGAAAGGTCAGAGATTCTGTAAAGTGGCTATTGTTTTCTTCATCCACATTAAAGAGATTTTTCCTGTCCCAGTGAAGTGAGACAGAGGTAGTGGGGACAAAGGCAGCTGTAAAAACCCCTCATATTTTAGTTTGGAAGGGTTACAATGCCTATCATATTTTTTGTTGCTGTGTTCCTGTTGGGGTAATTTTTCCTTACGTTCTGTTCTAGTGAGTATATTGTCATGGGAGCAGAGAGCGGGAGAAAATCTCCTTAGCATTGCTCTGTTCAAGATTAAATCTTCCTCTGAAGTTTGCTGAAAAACGGACATTTCCAGGGGCGTTAATCTCCTGGATACCCACTGCACTCAGTGGCTCACCCCTCGACCAGGACTGAATCCTGTAGTGAGGTTAAGGTCAGAGGGGGCAACCACTGAGCACAGGAGACTGTACTTATGTAAAAATCCGAAATCTAGTGGATGGTAGAGACTCTGGCATTTGACAGAGTGCAGGGATTTAACATCAGGAGGACAAGGCTTAGTTTCAACCTCCTACTTGGGCGTGGGCTGGACTTTATTTAAGTGCATTTCAAACCAAAACCTTTTTTTGTTGTTGTTGTTTTAGAGACAGTGGAGACGAGTTAGATCTCATTTCAAGGTTCTATTGCTATCTGGGGCTCCATTACATACATTTACTTCAACTTCCTGTCCTGTTGAAAATGTTAGAACTAAAAATTAATTTACTCAGTAAGGGGGAAAGCTACAACCCCTATCAGACTTTAATTTCTGTATGTCTTTCTGTTGAAGATTATCCTTCACAACAAAACTAATGTAACAAAAGTCTAGGTTGTCACATCAGAAACCCACCAACTGAAATATTTAAAATAAAATCACTAGCTGAATAATGAAAAAAAACGCACGTATATATTATTATTATTAAAGGTGCACAGAAATTACATTTTCATACCGAAACCTAAAATAAAAAATTTGTCAGGCCAAAACCAAATAATTTTTTTTCTAACCTTTTTACATTTTTTTTTTTATATTTTATTTTCTAACCCTTTTAAAATATATGTTTTAATATTTTATTTGTATTTATTTATTTTTTAACTTTACTGTCGAGGGCTCTGGGGAAATATCAGGGGTCCAAAAAGACCCCTGATATTTCCCTTTTGAAACAGAAAAAGAGATTTAAGGCACATAATCCTCAATCACTTTTTCTGCAGCCCCTGTTATGAATGAACAGGAAGCCTCTATACCGAGTGCTCCTGTCCATTCATAACCTGTGGAGATAGTACCGTATATACTCGAGTATAAGCCGAGTTTTTCAGCTCATTTTTTTTGCTGAAAAGTGCCCCCCCTCGGCTTATACTCGAGTCAGCGTCTCGAGCTGGTCTACTTTTATACTCGAGTCAATACTTTTTCCCAGTTTTTTGTGGTAAAATTAGGTACCTCGGTTTATATTCGGGACGGCTTATACTCGAGTATATACGGTATGTTTACTATGTCCACAATCATGAATTAACAGGACGTGATGTAGAGCACTTCCTGTTCATTCATAGTTGGGGACACAGTAAACATACTATGTCCTTAATTATTTACAAGCACTTAGCGATCAGTACTGACTCCTTCGGCTGTCACAAGAGGCTGAGTGGGCAGTGCGGAGAGGAGCGCTTGGTCTCTTGTGACAGCTGATAAAGCTCTCCTCCCTGCCCCGCCGGCTCAACTTCCTGTGACAGCTGAGAGCTCTCTCCTCCCCCAAACTGCTCTCCATCCTGATTTGCTAGTCACAGGAGGATGAGCGGGGCATTGAGCGAGCTCGGCCTCCTGTGACACCGCCGCTGACAGTGCTCTCCTCCCCTCCCTGCTTGGCCTCCTGAAGGTTTCTCTCCTTCCCGCTGGGCACTGCTCTGTGTCAGATGTCACATAGAGCAGCACCCATCGAGGAAGAGAGACACTAGAGATGCACCGCATTTTTGGCCAGGAAATTGTACTTTTGGCATTTTACCCAAAGTACCATTTTCGGCCGAAAGTTCGGTGCATCCCTAATTATTTTCTCATATGACATTTAATATTACTATGGATTACTTTGCTATTGTAATCTGCAGGTATCCATGATTTTCAAAAACGTAAAAAAATTAGTTTACTATGAAGTAGTAAAAGGTATTCTGGGTCTGTACATAATTCACTTATTTTTGCACATGTTGATTTACTACATTTTCCAGAATTATACACAGAGGTGGAGATTAAAATACAAGCAACCCCTGCACCAGAAGTTTTATCTTTGCTTAGATACTTTTAAACAAACATGTGAAGAGATGCCGAGGCTGCAGTGTTCATAATACAAGAACTGAGCCTAATACAATGAAGTGAACTCAGACTCCAACACAGACTTATACCTCAGTTATAGAATGTGCTGGCAAGGCATACATCGGTCTTTGCAGAACAGAAGATGGGGAGCAACTTCTTTTTATTGGGAGTAGTAAAAAACTGACGTGATCAGTGTCTGTACAACTGGTTTCAGAAATCCTCCTGCCACAGCGTTTAACATACAGTTTAAGAAAAATTATATGTTGTTTTGTTTTACCTTGATACAGAGTTAGCGACTTCATTTCTGCATTTGTGAAGTGCATCTACAACAGCCATGAACGGTTTAGCTGTCTTTATATCTGTAAAGTGTTCCAGACGCTAAAAGAAAAAACACAATAACAAGAGGACAATATCAGTTTTATTGAATGGCAAAACCCCAGAAAATGATAAAAGAAAATAGGCAACACAAATGTGTTGAGGTGAGCTTGACTAACCTAATGCACATGCATGGGCATTTGCCCGGCTTTGGCGCTAACAGGATGTGCCACTTTGACTTCAGTCCCAGCTTGTGGGCAGCTGTCAGAGCAGAATGCCACGCTCCCCATCACTAGGCAACAGGGACACTGCTGCTGCCTGATTGGGCAGTGTTGCACTGCTATTGGGAATGAGATGCTTTCATCATAATATTGGTTCTAGCTATATATGAATGTTGCACTTACAATATGGAGTTTGTGATATTGCACAGTATTTTAGATGGTTTTGGCAGGATTATGATATCATTATGTGTGTGTGTGGGTGTGGGGTGTGGTTGAGGTGGGGCACATTGTTTACTAAGGGTAACACTATTTTAGACAAAAATAAACCACTTCAATCTTCGATTCCGAACTGAGTGCTGGTGAGGTCTTTCCTTCTACTCTGGTATAGCATGGCGCCATTCGTTGCTGTCACTGTGAGCACCACCCACCGATACCAGACACAGTGCTGTATGGAGTGCAAACCAGAACGGTATTTCTCAACTTTTAACCCTTTCATTAGCAGAGGTCATTCAAGTGTAGATGTCCAGACCAAATTCAGTAGTGTCAATGGGGTTGATTTACTAAAGGCAAATACGCTGATTACTTTGCAGTGGAATTTTCACTTAGCTTAGTGGATCTGTTAAAATTCACTTTGCACAGAATACCCAATTATGTACAAGAAAAAAAAAAAGAATTTTTTTTTTTGTTTGTACCTGATTGGATGATGAAGTCAGAACATTCATTAAGCTAAGTGAAAATTATCTTGCAAAGTGAATGCATAGTAAATCAACCCCAATGTGTTGGTTAACAAGGAGAGTTTTTGTTGTTGTGGGCAAACCTCCAGCCTGTATGTCATCATCATGATTGGCTCACATGGTGATCACATGATTGTGAACAATGCTGGCTGGTTCCTGCTCATTAGTCTAAGACCTTGACTGTCACTGAAGAATGCTGGCTGGTTCATGCTCGTAAAGCTGGCCATACACCTTACAATTATCTGCAGATTTTCTATGGTCAGATGGAAAAGGTGCAACAGATTCCTCCATCTACACAATTGTGTGGATGGAGTAATCTCCACCTGGGCCAATCTGTTGCACTTTTTCCATCTGACCACAGAAAATCTGCAGATACTTGTAAGGTGTATGGGCACCTTTAGTCTGAGACCTTGACCGTCACTGAACTGTGCAGAGGTGAGCACTTATAATTCACAGCTGCAATTAATGTTCTCTTTGCATTGTGACCTGTACCTGGGAACATTGATGTACAGAATGCAAATGTCTACTTGTAACTTCTTTAAATGGATAAGATGCTTTAAAGATTTCAAGACTGCTGGCAGGTTTGCACATGCTTTATAAAAGGATTGTACACCGCTTATATACAAGATAAAGTCAGTGCATACAGGGCCTGAAGACCCACAAGAGTGGGATTTGGTGCACAGAATTAAAATTGTGAGATGACGACACGTTACACTTGTTCACTCACATGCCCAAGGAATAAGGTATGGCCTATTATCAGTCCCTGCATGTTTTCATCCTGAAGATTCTCTCCCACCAAGAGATGTTCTATAAAAAGTGCCATAGAAAATACACAATTCCAAAGTTTTCTGTGAAGAAACAAGAAAGAAAATATACGGTAAGTGTATATTTATTAAAACGGCGACCCACCATTGCAAGCAATTGTGATTTTTATTATAACACCTCACAAACCATAATCTCGGATCCCCTATTTTCTTATAACAATTTTTCACTTTCAGGCAAGCTTGGGCTCAGTTTATTGAAGCTGAACACCAGGTAAACAGCTAAATACACAGATAAAATACATATGTGGACTGGTTTACCTGCCAAAGGATTTGTATTTCTGTCTGTCAAGTCCTGGGATTTACAAAGTTCTACCACACAGCACAGCCCTACCCTTGCAAGCAAGGAGAACTGTTTTTTTCTCTGCTGCAGTTCCAGTTCTCCTATCCACCCCCACCCTGTGACTTGACTGAAAGAAGAAGCAACACACTTGTCTCTCTGCCACTTTGTTCTGTGCTCCTATCAACATGCTCCTTGCACAGTGACACACCTTACTAGCTTTTTGTGCCGCTTCTCCCTCCCCCTCGTGAGCTCTGATGAGCAGTAGACAGCAAGATTCAGCTACTTAAACTGCTTGCATTTAAATTAAAATACATTTAATCATGAAATAAAAAATAAAGAGTTGCATTAATGTGTGGTTTTTTTTATCTCTGCCTAGAGTTTAGCTATAAAAAAATGCATTTATTATTATTCCCATCCTGAAGGTACCTGATCTGGTTTATTCCTGTTTTGCACCAAGCACCCTGTCCCTGTAAATATCCTTCTGAGCAGGTCAATTCAATGGGCATGTGTATGTTTTTTACTTGTCGCATCCATTCTTGAGGGTCAGATCTCTGCATGGTGTGTTTCAATGATTCTAGACAAGCAATGGCAGCATAGATGTCAAGAACCTGGAAAAAGAACAAAATTATGAGATGCAGGAATTAGCTATGTCAGCTAAAAACATTCAGGGCCCAATAGCAGCCTTGTTTTCTTTTGTTTGTTTGTTTTTTTATTGTATAACAAGTAAACAATATGGGATTTGTGTGTTCTTCAACCTGTAAACACTGGCTTGTGCCGGCAGCACACTGGAGAGCTGGATGCAGAACACAGTGTTCCAGGTCTCTAGTGGTCCGTCCTACTTACACAGTGCTCCAATCAACAACAAGCATGCTTTGGCAGATCCTAACCCTCCTGTATTGAAATTGTATTGTACTTTCAGTCTCCCTCCATTCTGTAAAGCGCTGTGATAACAGTTTAACAGTTGGTGCTTTATAAATCCTGTATTACAATAATAATAATAATAATAATCCTTAAACAGTCAATTTGATAAAGGCCTTGATAAAACAAATGTCCATTTGTTCAGAACATGGAAAGATAAGACCCTGCAAAAATGTTTGCTGCAATTCTTGTAAAGTATACAGTTCCTCTAAAGGCAGATTTTTTTCCAAGAAAAAAAAATCTCAAAATATAACGTATGATGGGAATTTAAGGGAACATGTCAGGATTAGGGATGCACCGATACCAATTTTTCCAGAGTGGGTATGAGTACCGATACTTTTCCTCAAGTACCGATCACCGATACCAATTACTGATACCTTTTTTAGTGTTACGTGACAGTTTTTCTAAAACAATACAGACTAATGATTTTAGCCCAGTTGCAGCTGCAACCCTGGTAGTTCTGCCACTGACTACAAGCTGTAGAAGGATTACAAACACAGCAATACATTATACAGTAATGCAGAATATACCATTAGCTATAGAGGACTACAAATCCCAGCAGTACATTAAACAGCAATGCAGAATAGTAGTATATGAATTTTCTACATACTCTGTGCTGCTCCAGGGTGCCAGCCTAATGTCTTGGGCAGAGGGTCTCAGGAGGGTTGTGGAAGTTCTCAGGAGGGGTGTGGAGGGTCTCAGGAGGGGTGTGGAGGGTCTCAGGAGGGCTGTGGAGGGTCTCAGGAGGGGTGCAGAGGATCTCCGGAGGGGTGAGGAGGATCTCCGGAAGGGTGAGGAGGATCTCAGGAGGGCTGTGGAGAGTCTCAGGAAGGTGCAGAAGATCTCAGGAGGGGGAGATGTACGGGCTGGCGCTGTAAACACGCGCAGTGTGTTTCCCAAGAAGGCTGCTACTATCATTCTATTTCTGATCTGGTGACAGCTCACACTTTTGGATTTCCCCTCACTTTCAGTCCCGATGACAATGGTCACTAAGACAAAAAGAGAAGGTGAAGCTCTCCAGACAATCGGACCCTTTCCAACTCCCAACATCTACAACGATTTTACAGTAGATATTCTTTAACGGCAAGCAGTCTTTCACTTATTTAAAATTTTGAGCCGCAAAACTGATACTTTAAATTCACTTGTTATTTGCCTGATTGGTTGCTATCTTTAAGAAGCAACTTAACTGATTCATCATTTTCAGCATCAAATTTCTTGTTGCACAGTTTTAATAAATGACTCCAATGAGCAGAAGACAAAGAGTCATACAGACCTACTTCTAGTCTGAATACCAAGAGTTTCATGTGACACAATATCCTCACCATCTCATTTCTTAGTAGTGGCCTGGGATCGGTGATCTTTTCAAGTAGGGAGTCCAACACTGAGGGGTTGACCACCAAAATCCTGTTTAAGTTTTGCAGCCTGTGTTGAAATGTAATATATCCAATATGGACCCATGGAAGTTGTAGGGGTTCCTTAGATTTTGTGGAGGATCTTAATTCTTCGATACATGCAGACAGAGCAAACTCCATGATCTATAACATATAAACAGTAGGTGTAGCTTGCTTTATTGAATTAAGCAACACATTTAATAAGACATTTAATAAGACACAATGTTTAAAAACGATTCTTGCCTCAAAATGTACTTGTGTTGCCAGCATGTCACATCCATTGTTAACAACATGTCTTCCTCTACAAAGCAACTCCAAATATCAGCTTGTTTTAGCTTCACAAGCAGAGGATAGATGTGATTTGGCTAGAAATGTCCATACTAGCTGGCCATACACCTACAGATTATCTGCAGATTTTCTATGGTCAGATGGAAAAAGTGCAACAGATTCCTCCATCTCCGCTAAACTGTGTGGATGGAGGAATCTCCCTCTGGGCTAAGCTTCAGTATCTTGCTAATCGGCTCCGCTGGCTCTCAAAATACCTGAACAATCTGATTGGATGCAGGCAGTGTTCAGGTATTTTGAGAGCCAGCCGGCCGACTAGCAAGATACTGAACCTTGGCCCAGCGGGAGATTCTTCCATCCACACAGTTTACCATAGATGGAGAAATCTGTTGCACTTTTTCCATCTGACCATAGAACATCTGCAGATAATCTAGAGGTGTATGGCCAGCTTAAGGGTTCCTTGTTGCAATTTTGATAGCCTTAGATACAGTTACTGTTCTAAAGTCATATCCAAATTGTACTTAAAGCGGACCTTTACCCATATCTTTACAATAACAACAAACACACCTTTGGAAATTTTTAGTAATGACAATCTACAAACACATACTTCTAGATAATTGCCGGCTTTGTATTCTTTGCATACCTTATTTCTCTTTTCTTCCCCAGTCTGGCCTTGTTTACTAAGGGCAGATTACTAGCTCTCCTATTACTTCCTGGGTTTCTGGCACATGTGACTAGGCTTGTGACTAGGACAGGTGACTATGCACATCATCTCAAAGGAGGAACATGTCTTTCCCTGACATCTTGTGAGAATACAGATGAGATTTCCCAGCAATGCTCTGCTGATGACAAGGCAATCCCAGTGTGCATTGCTTTGGCAAACTGAAGTCCTTTTTCCCTTTCAAAGCAGGAAGTGAATGCTCTGCAAGTGTAAGTATTTCAAAATCACAGCATTTTACACCTGGCATGTCTATGTTATTAATAATCATCATACATAGAGGGATGCATTAGTAGAATTTGAATTTTAAGTATAAAGGTCCGCTTTAAGCTGCTTTTTTTCAAGAAATAATATTTCTTAAAGTGAACCTGTGCCTTCTATATGCAGAACAAAAGGGTAGCCATCTATCTCGCTGCAAACAATAGCCTCTAATGACTGGTAGTCAGACAGCATGTGATCTAGGCTGCCTAGGCAGGGAGATAGGGAGCAAACCGCTCTAAATTATGGCAGGTAAGTGTTACTTTTTTAAATTCAAAATAGAAATGCAATTCAATTATTGTGACATATGTCACACTTCATGGGAAGTGTATATTTTCTTGACCTGTCCACTTGAATTTGTTAGTATGTCTGTAGCTTTCTATTTTAGTAGATGTAAAGTAGTGTAATGCTCCAGGAATTGTAATAAAGCCTGTAATTACTACCACTAATTTATCTAATTTAGGGACAAATTGTTGGTACATTTAAAGGCCTGTATAACTCATTTACTAAACACCCAAACACACTAATCATCCAGCAGTTGTAAATGCCTATGATAAGCTTCTTATGCAGATACTCCTTCAGCATTGCATTCATACACTGCCAAAAAAGTCATCAGGCATGCCCATTATCTCACTTAAAGTGCTCAGGAAGTAGTTTTAACCCTTTCGCTACCACCGACGTATGGCATGTGGCAGAACACAACCGCTTGCATCTGGCCACGCCAATATGCCTTACGCTGGTGGCTTTTACCCTACTGCTATAAGCTCATGGTCGCTTTAGCAATCATGAACTTACACCAGAAAGGGTTCCCCTGATGGTCCCCTGTAAATTAATAGCTGTGGGCCCCCGACGCTGCTGCAATTTGAAAGCCTCTCCTCCCTGCCTGGAGCCACTCCAGGCTGGGATCTATTTTTCCTCGGATCCCTGCTGCTCTCCCCCGCCTGCATGGGCTGAGACAGTGGGGATCCCAGGAGAAATGGCAAGCTGCAGTTGGTGGGGGGGGGGGCGTAGGAGGGAGCTGTGATCCAGGATGGCCAAGGGGTGAGAAAAGAGGAGTCGGCAGCAAGCGGGGAGGAGAGCTGCTGTCATAGACATATGGTGTTACAAATATATACAGCATACATATATGGTCATTTTCTGGACCATACCTAATTAGGGGCAAAAACATTTCTATACAAATTTCACAAGATTTTGGCTTTTTCTTTTTGCTAGGCCTTTAGTGTGCATGAACCCCAGCCTCAACTGCATTTTTTGGAACACTACTAGTTCTACCTTTAACTCTTCAGCAGATGATATGCTCATGTTCATAAGGATAAAGTCTCTCTTGTAAATCAGGAAAAGGTTGTGTTGTGTGTTCTCTTCCTTAGAGGAGACATATTTTCCCAATGGCGTTTTACAGAAGATCTCTAGAAATTTCATTGCAGGACCTGCAATAAAAACAAAATCAGGTTTGTTAGATTAAGACATACATACATCTAGGAAACAAAACGAGTCAGCTGCTCAAATCAATTTAGAACTAGTAGAAAAATTCAGCACACTTAAGCAACCTGTTGTGGGACAGTAATGCAGTTGCATTATGTCCCATGTTAACATACATTGCGTTAAGGCAGCCCATTCACTACAAATGGGCTGCCAATGCACCACAATGTACCAAGAAAGGCACAGGGCCCTTTTAAGCAACACAGTGTACCACAATGCATTTATGTGCATTATACATTTTTCTGTACAGTGCTTTGGAGGAACATTTACAATGGATGCCATCACAATCTACTGCACATAGACCTGGTGCAATGTCATGTGTTGCAGCAACACATTTCCGCTATTTGCAAGTGTGAGAATACAGCCTAAATGAACAGTACAAAAATACCCACCGATCACTCCATGCAGCAGAGATCTAACTGTAAACTGTTTCTAACATTTACATGAAAAGTAAAGGTCTTTGTTGCACACATATGCATAAATATATACAATACACTTCTTCTCCTCTTTTCTTCTTCCACTGTCCCCTTTGTATCTTGTTTTGTTCCCCTATGTCCCCCCATGTGTTGTTTGATTTATTGTTGCCTGTATCACTACTTTACCTTACAAAGATTTTGACTTATATGACCACTACTGCACAAGGTAAAGGTGAAACACATTTCTACCACTCTACACCGCTCAGTATAAGGTCAGGATAGGTTACAACGAGAATACTATAGGTTGGGGCCCATCAAGATTCGCCTTTGTCAGTTGCTTAGTAGAATGTATACTATGGTTGAAGGGTCCTACATTGAAACCTCACCCTAAGGACTAACATTGTGTTCTTCTACTACTGTGATAAATTTCATGCACCATGTGTTGTGTTGAATATGTTTGACCTGATTGCCACAGGCATCTGTTGATACTGTAACATGTCTGTAACTGTTATCTCTGTTAAACTCATAAATATCTATTTCAGAAAAAAAGTATATACAATACACATATTTAATTTATATACAATAATACATGAACTTACACTGGTTTGTCAGGACACCTTTTAAAATTTGATTTTATTCTAATTTTATAATCTATGTAAACATCCAAACAGGTGCACATACATAGCAACGGATAAACTGTGAGCAGCCTATCTTAATTTAGGCTGACCATACACTAACAGTATTTCTATCTTAATTCCTCCATTCACCCAACAGCTTAAGCCACATCTTTTTTAAACACACAGGACATCCAGACTTTCGCAAAGCAGCTGGAGACCCCCCAATTGTATGTCTCCATCAAATTACATAACAGAGAGTGGTAACTGCTCAAATTACTTTACAACAAGCAGGAGACGGTGCAGACTGGTGGGACAATTTACAGTACTACCATACAATACAGCCAGCACAGAGACCGAACTTTATAAACAATCATATTGGTAATACTCTTATTTTTTATTAATTAAGTAGTTACAACAAAATGTGAGTGAAATTAACAACAACAAATTTTAAAACAGTCGGTGGAACAAGGGGAGGAGCAGAAAACAGAAAAGAAGGGAGGAAAGAATGAAAGAAGAGAGAAGGAAAGAAAGAGGGAAAAAAGAGGCAGGAGTCATATTGGTTACACATCCAACTCCCCCTTTCTAGATGCATGCTTACCTTGCTGTAGTGATAGCCTCCAACAGGGTTATATAGAACTATTTCTAGACAGGAGATGCTCAGGAGATTGACCAAATAGAACACTATGGGAAGTTACTGCCCAGGCATGGCTGGTGAATGGGAGTTCAGCAGCAAGATGTAATCAATCACCTGTGGCTATAGACACAAAGTATGCATCTGGGAAATTGGAGCTAGGTTGGCATAGCCTATCCTTTAAAGTATAAGTCCAATAAGTCACCACAGTTTTACCATTTGTTTTATATTGAAAGCAGCTACAGCTAGTAGAAAAGACTGTCCTGCTGCTGGCTCTGTCAAAGCAGTGGACCCACTGTAGTGGTCTGACTCTCCTTTTACTGAGTCACAGCTAGAGCTCTCCAATCAGCTCTAGTTCTAGTTCAGCAGGGAATGCATCCGAGCACTGCAAAGAAACTGCTACTTCTACATAGCATGACACTTCTCAGTAGCATGACACTAAGAGACGGGCTTTCCTACTATAGCTCTAGCTGCTTTACTATCAAAATGAATGGTAATACTGCAAACGCTGACCTGTATTTACTGCACTTAGGTTGTATTTTCAACATTTTCAAATGAGCTTTAAGGTTACATGGCAGGTTAATGTACCGACTAATATTTGAAATACACAGGATGAATATTACCTTCTGTAGTATCAATGTGCTGGGCCTGAGTCCAAATATCTTCCAGATAATCTTTAATCCTCCAGCTGAAAGGTAAACAATTTTCCCCAAATACAGCGATATTCATGTAGTTCTTCACCAGAATGGTTTCATTCTGTGAACTGGAACACAAACAGTCAGACAAGCAAACTTTTAGCAATTATTTTAATCATAGCATAAATGACGGTCTAAGCAGCACTGATTTTTTTAATACAGGATAGATCCTAGCACAGCCATATTGGCTCATTACTCATGTGGGCTCAGCTTCTTGGTTGTGCTTTGCCCATTCTCTTATCTTACAGCAAATTTTCCAGATTAAGTGAAAACAATTACTTCCATGTAGTCTCTAATGATGGGAAACTCCCACAAAACTCTTATGATCATAGACGAGAGAGATGAGGAGCAGCATATCAAAAAAATAAAAGGGCATTTTTCCAATATTAATGTACTTTGGTACACAAGTCATACAGATTTATGTGGAGTGTATTTTTAGTGACAGACCCCCTTTAAAGAGTCCCTGTCACCCTGCCCATTCTGGCCAAAGTGACAGATGCTTTTCATAGCCCACCCCCTGACCTAGTTCTACTCACATTCACAGTACCCCATGCAACTCCAGCTGCTGCATAATAACCTTTGATTCTTGGTGTGGGGAAAGCATGGGCCTTGTCCCATGCTGCAGTATTCTTTGCATCAGTTACATGATAGAGGGGGTGACATTGCCGTAATGTAAACGCCAATACCTGGGATTTTATGTTAGCTGCGTCAGAGGAAAGAATGGAAGGGGAGCACTGTAAAGTGAAGTATAAGGCTGGTTGGGGGGTGTACATAAAAGTTTTGTTTACATTTTTTTCCGGAGGAAGGAAATTTTAAGTAAAAAACAAGCAAATTGTTTTGCTCATTAATTATTTAGTTGTTGTAGTAAAATTTACCTGTGACTATCGATAGGCAGAAGATTTTCATCTTGAAAAATGTACATCCATAGGCATTTCACATAGTCTTCCACATGCTTTGCCACAAGGAGGTCCAGGTTGGCATTACGATCAACAACAGACAAGATTTGGGACAGAAGCGGTGTGACAGCGGTCTGAACACGTTTCCAAAGGGTTTGCCTAGACAGCATAATATTTTTATTGTATTATACAAAGAACGTTAGAGCATTCATATCTGTTTCTATCATAAAGCAGCTTACAATAAATAAAGCTACCAGCTTCCTGAAGGTGTTTTTACATTTTGGTCTATTGGTATATACAAGTATGGCTATGATGATGCTGCAATAATGTTTCATAAATACTATGGTAATAAAAAGCACAAAGGGAAGGACTAGGTTACTTTTCCTGTCTCAAAATACAAACACATGGTAGAAGAGATCTCTCCCAAGTAAGGGGAATCCTCTCTTAGACAGTTGTAACCAGAATAAGTGTCTCCACTGAAAGCTTTCCCTTCTATTCCTGTTGTGGTGACAACTCAAAAAGTAAGACTATGGTCCACTTTCAGTCTCATTGACAATAGTCACCAGTACAAATAGAGAGATAAATCTCCTAAAGTGGGGATAGAGACAGCAATAAAAACCTGACATAAGTTATTTCCTCCTTTGTCCAGAACACAAAATAAATCCTAGCTTTAGATACACTTTATTTTGAGGTACCTGAAAGTTCCAGCTTCCTGCAGAGCATCGTGATTTCCAGCCTCCCGTATGACCCATTGTTCAGGACTAAATGCAATTACTTCCTGCGTCTCTAGCAACTTGTACAGGCGGTACTTCAGCATTTTTAAGAAAGAGCCTATGGGCACAAAACACATTAAAATGTCAATAAATATAGAGGATGATAAAGTAATACAGAGTGCCAAACACTAGTCAGTCTAGTTGCCAGAATTATAGAGAAGTGATTTCACTGAAATGAAGACAAAGGATACAAAACATTAGTCCCCTCTGTCTTTATACTTTACACGCGCTGTCTTCCTAGTTCCTGTAATAAAAAATCTTCCATCCTGTACTTGGCTGCAGACTAATGAAAACAGAAGCTGTATTGCTTTAATGATCAATCACATTCCATGTTTCAATTTTCCAGCCCAGGCACGTGGAAGACAAAGTGTATTATAAAAATTATATATATATATGTATAAAT